CCTTTGTGATGCCCATAGTTCTTTTTTGTACTGTCTGCGGAACTCCCTATAGAGTCCGCACTTAGGCCGCTGCTCTTCGCAAGGAGTCCTCCCCGCCCTATGCTCCTCTGTCTCAGGGCAGCTCTTCTCGAAAGCCCGTATCATAGCGGTGTTTTCTTGGTAAATACCCTAGGCGCCAAGCGAGCTGCTCCCTATAGAGTTCCCAGTTTATTCCCGGAGGTTCCTAAATCTAACGGGTTCCCGAACACCCATTTCCAACCCAAAGGTGATGTATCTATGGTCCGAATAGTCCTCCCCACACACCACCCAGTTACTTCCGGGAGCAGAGCCCTGGTACAGAGTGTCAAGTCTATAACCGAACTCCGACCCGCCGTGAAAAATGTAGATTCTACCCCTCTGTTGGCTACCTGCAGCCCTGCCGAGGCCATGAACTCCACGAGATTGGTCGCCGCGCTGCCCCAGTTCTAGCGTTAAATGGCAGGTGGCACCACTAGCACTTGCGCGCCATCTGTTGTCGCATGTCAACGAACGGGGGTGTCTCATTTTGCAAGGTTTTTCCGTTATTTTTATATACAGAAAGATGCCGTTAACAAAATTTTCATAGCCCTTTTTTTTTATAAGATACAGACCTCGAATCTCAACTGTGAAAGCTATATGTTTTTAATGGAACATCCTATATATTTATTGGCTATAAAACTTTTTTTTACCTTTTCAAAAAAATACAGCAGTGCTTTTTCTCAGAAATGAAACAAGAAATGTCAATTTTCCAAAATAAAGCTTACTTTAACAGTTTTGTAACAAAATAACAATATAACAATACAAAAAAACTACATTATTAAAAAAACGAAATAAACTAATGTTCAAATTGAAGACCATTTTCTCTAATGCAAAACTGGCACATTTGTACAATTCTTTGAATAGCGTTTAAAAAAATGATGGATCTCACTTGCAGATTTCGAAAGGCTAAATGATTTTATATACTTTGATTTGTATATAGCCCCGTAAAAGTATAAAATTGAGAGATCGGGTGATCGCGGCGGCCATCGAAACAGGTACATTGGTACATCTTTGAGGAAAGTTATTATACAGATATACCCTTACGAGCCTAGAGTTTTCACTTGGAGCTCTATCTTGCTGTAGGTATATGAGTGTATATTGGGACAATTGAATATTTTCAAGCAGTTCTGAAATAACATCCTCTAAAATTTCTAGGTATCTATGTGCTTCTTCAAAAACCTTACAAACTATATCTCTGCCCAAAATAAAATATGACACACCAACTTCAAAGCGTCCTTGTGCTCTTTCAAACATTAAATGCTGATTCTCTTTAATCCAGTTCCTTGTATTGCGACGAATAAAAATGCCCTCATGTAAGAAAAAGCATTCATCTGACCAGATAACAATTCAGCCAAATAAATAATTAACATCGATTTGTTGGCACTAGAAAAACAGTGCCAGGATGCAAACCAATTTCCTTCTAGCCTACTAAATGCATATAATTTTCAAAAATTGATATTTATTTGTTTGTCTCTGAGAAAAAGTACATACTATTATATATATTTCAAAATATAAAAAAAGATAAATTTTAGAGTCCAAAAATATGGGAAAAGTTACATGAGACAGTTTTCACATTTTTTATTAGTGATCTGATAGTTGAGACATGAGGGGTACCTAAAAATAATATTTTCAGTTTACCTCTGTACCTTAAAATGCATTTATAAAACTAACGGAGATATCCCGCAAAAGTACACCTGTATGTAGCCATTTAACTGACACACGGACATGGACACGGTAATAACCATGTCCCAATCCCGGTGGGGATCTGGCTTGACTCAGGGCAACAACGTCACCGCATCTTGCTAGTGAGGTCTCCTACATGAAGCACTACCTCTTAACATCTTAACGGATGGAAAATTGAAAATTCTTCTATTTGACGGGCTGACAACTGACACACTCACACACTTTTTTGGAATTCGTGTTTTTGCGATGCTTCTCACTTTTTTGGAATTCGTGTTTTTGCGCCAAAGTCAAAAACTTCAGTTATGTGTGCGCCCAGTAACATAATAAAACCAACAGCACTGATAATAACAAAATGTGTTTTCGATATCTCCCGCAGTGTCGTGTTGGACTTTCTAAGATTGCAAACCTTCGACTTTTTTTTCAGGTGTATGCATATAGCTTATACAGCCACCCATATATAAGATACGAACGTATGAAACAGGAAAAAATTGAGAAGGTCCATTCCAGATGCGCGTGCGCGAGATTTCGTTTTTAACCAATGACCTTGCGGCATTCAACAACCAACATAGCCGCTGACATATCGTCAATAAGTTGAGCCCAGCAGTATTTTCATAAAATATGTCTAGATCTCGTTAAATGTTCTAAGAAAACGAGTTAAATATGTGGTAATCATTTTTTAATAAGAAAAAGGCAGGTGCAGTGCAGGTTAGTGACTGAAATGTAATGCATGCGCGGAAATTTTCCTTTTCTATGAAAATATCAATGCCGCTTGCGGCGCATAAATGTTTACTGTAGTAGGGCCACTATATTTTTTAATTACTATATGTTTAAACTACATCGTTTTACAACGCATGACAACACCGTTTCTTGCATTTGAACTAACCATAAAAAAGAAAAAAATGCATTATGCTTAAAAATGTTTTAAAAAATGACACACTCGAGGTAATAAACGAAAAACAAATTTTACAAATAACTTGACTATCTGATGAACTGTGCCTTCTTATCGAATCCATAAATAGTTTTTATTCTTATTTAGTTATAACCCAAATAACAAAATTATGTATAACTTACACATCATATGAATTTTATGGATATGGATATACTTGTATATTTAATATAAAATAGATATAAATTGCACTTTAAACTAACATTCAGTGTGTCGCACCTTTGTGGTACATGAGAATTAGAATTAATATTCAAATAAACTTTCGCAGGTTTGACAACTTGTAGGTACACATCTTCAGGAAAAATCCAGAAGATATGTACCTACTGCACAATTAATTCCTCTTGGCTGCCATTCGGTGAAATGTAAAAAAACATGTATCTCCTTATATACATTAAAAATGAATTAAATAAAATCCTAGTTGAATACACAAATGAAACAAAACACTACTCAACAAATAGTTGCTATTACCTTCTTATTGGTATTACTCAGTATATTAGGCCCTAATTGGCCATTGTTTTGGTGCTATGATCATGTGTCGATTTTGTTTAAGAATAACGAAATATGAAACATATGGTTGCAGATAAAGCAGCATTCTCTCATCTGCACTTTTACAAAATCTTTTAATAAAAAATAGCTGGCTATAATAACTTTACACATGTAAATAAGGAGTATACTAATAGTTATTTAAAAATAGCAAGAATTAAGATTTCTCAACACCGCAACACTCTAAAACCCTTAGCATAGCTGAATCCATATACCTATTAGATAATTTAGTGGCGCTGCTCCGGTAAAAATTGATGCGCCGCAGGTGGCACTGACATTTTCATAAAGGTTGTGATTTTCCGGCATGCCTCTATATTTCACCCATTAACCTACACTTTACGCCATTTTCTTTTTAAACACCGATTTCCACACATTTAACTCCAGAATATTTAACGAGATCTAAGCCTATTTTAAGAAAATACTGCCGTAAAAGTGCAACATCTAAACTTATGGACGATCTGTCATCGGCCATGTTTGATGTGGAATACCGTAAGTAGAGTTGTCTCAATCGCGATTGATTCGGTCATTTTCATTCAATCACTTCATAGGATCGAACGACCGAATCCCGCTTGTTCGTAACGATTCGATCACCTTGTTCGCTCTCCCTGCCGCCCTGGCCGGTCTGAAGTGACCAACCGTACCAAAACAAATCGAATTCGCCCTCCGGAATACGATTCATTTGAATGGTTTAAGATTTAAATGCATGACTGAGACAGGCCACGGAAAAGCAATGGGAGTATTGTTATAATTATTCTATAGTATTGAGTTGATGTATCTATTTCCACACAATTATTTAATTTTAACAAATTAATGTATTACTGGTACAACCAAATACGTAGCACCTACTTTGATAAAATCATTATTCAATAACTAGAACAGAAAACATAACATATAGACACAACAATAATTCAAATTCAAATGAATCTAAATCGGTATTGCCGCTTATGTTGGCAACAAAAAGTATTGAAATGAACGATTGATTGTAATGATTCGGTCATCGTAAAATGAACGATTGACACACACTAACCGTAAGGTTATTGATTAAAATCGATATCTTAAGTCTTGCGCATGCGCATGTCAAATAGACCTTTCAATTCTCGAATCATTTCAAACCTTTTTGTTGCCAACTGCAAGCTATTAACCATAAGCGGCAATAGTCACTGAATCCGAATAACCGATTCAGATTCATTTAAATTTGAATTTTTGTTGTGTCTATATGTTCTGTTTTTTGTTTTGGTAATACATAAATTTGTTTAAATTAAATACATGTGTGGAAATAGACATTTCATTCAATATTCAACACATGAACAAATCTACCAATCGACGTCGCAAGTCAATACAATAGAATAATTATAACTATACTACTCCCATTCCTTTATCGTGGTCTGTCTCTGTCATGCATTTTAATCTTAAACGATTCGAATGAACCGTATTCCGCAAGGCGAATTCGATTTGTTTTAGCACGCTCGGTCGATCAGTCGCCATTTCAATTCAGACCGGTGAGCGCAGTAACGAGAGCGAACAAGGTAATCGAATCGTTACGAACAAGCCGGATTCGGTTGATCGATACTATGAAGTGATTGAATCAAAGTGACCGAATCAATCGCGATTGTCAAAACTCTAACTGAATCTAACACAGAGATATGTGAGGTTAATTTTCATATCTCTGGAAACGCATGCGGAAATATTAAATTAAATATATTCTAAAGCTCTTTGTTCTTAATTTTTCATTTCGCATTGATCTAATGTCATAAACTTCTCTTTAATTATCTGTGGTTCAATCTTCTCCATCCTTACTAATATGGCCACAATTGTTTAATTTTGCCATTTTTAATTATGTATCTATGGTTAAATTTAGTTTTTTTTTTTATTTTTAAATAGTCTTAAAAGGAATCAACATTTCGCTTTTCTATGGTACTATATTTCCCGCCTTCGGTGTTACTTGTATATTTTGGGTTTCTTCTAATCTGTGAACTGTATCTCTGAATTTATTATATCAATTTCCTGTTTTCCAGGAAATTAACAACTATCGCGTACAACAACTACCCACAATTGATATTTCAAATAGCTAAAGTTAAATTGTGGGTAGTAAATGCTGTGAGCAAGTTAGTGTTGGTTACTGTGGTTTGGTCATTTAAAATGTTTATTTGCAGAAAATGGCAGTGTTAGAAAAACTCTACATTAAAGGCATTCGAAGTTTTGGGCCAAATGACGAAGAAAAAGTACGGTTTTCAACACCATTAACTTTATTCTTAGGGCAAAATGGCTGCGGCAAGACCACAATAATCGAGTCCTTAAAATATGCCCTAACAGGAGATTTACCTGGTGGAGTAGGTAGTGGTAATGGCTTTGTTAATGATCCTAAACTTTCAAATAAAAGTTCAACTAAAGGTTATGTGAAGGTTAGGTTCAGAGACTATAGGGGTGATTATGTTACAGTGGGTAAATTTGTGGAAGTTCAGGCAAAAAGTGATGGAAAGTTAACTTTTAAAAGTTCAAATCCTTCGTTGAGATGGGAGGATGGAAAGCATATTAAAGAGCCTCAAGATATAGCAGGGCGACATATAAATATAGACGCGTACTGTGCTCAAAAATTAAATGTTTCCAAAGCAATTCTGAATAATGTAATATTCTGTCATCAAGAAAATGCTGCATGGCCTCTTGATGAAGGAAAAAAACTGAAAGAAAAATTTGATGAGATTTTTGGTTCAACAGAATATAATAAATGTGTGGATAGGCTTAGAAAACAGATTGGAGGGCAGAGAAACCACATTAAAGTGATAAAAGAACAACTTGAAGTTAAAAAACAATTTAAACAAAATGTTGACAGAATTAGGTCGTCTTTAGAGGCACATGAAGCACAAGTCGAAACAATTAAAATAAATATTGATAAAAAAAAAGCAGAAATTGAGCCTATGATGCAACGAATTCAAGAAATTTTGGATCTTGAACAGGTTTTAGGTAGTTTACAAGAGGAATTATCTGGAAAGCAAAATTATTTGGAAGGTAATATTTGTTTTTATGTTTTTAATAATACAGAATAGAATACTTGGCAAAACAATGTCAAAAATTGCATTTCATTTGTAAGCCAAATTTATAGGGGTAATCATATTAGCTTCAGATTTTTGCCTCTTCGGATGTATCTCATGTTGTATTACAATAATTCAATAATTATTCATAAATATCTTTTGTCAATCGAGCATGCATATGAAGTATTAAATTGTTTATGTATTTTTTAATATTGTACATGTAATAAAAACTTTTTCAAATTTTTACTAGAAAACTAGTATTACATGTGGTGCCTAAATTGGTGGACCCAATTAAGAATAACATTCTCTGTAAATGTTTTTCTAAAATTATAAAAACTATATGGAACTAATATCAGGGGCAATGTCAATAAATTGTTAATACTATTTGGAAGATAAGGTATATTTTAGGTATTGATCAGCATCAGCAGATATTAAGGTCACATTTGGATGTCGAATTTGATGGAACTGACCAGCAGTTGGAGGAAGAACTTGAAAACTTTAATAAGAGACGGGGAAATATTGAAAGAGATATAAAAGAAAAAGAGGACAAAAGAGTTCAATTTGAAGGAAAAATTGTCGACTTCAATAAAGAATTGCAGAGTTTGCAATTGTATTTAGGCAAACTAAGTGAAGAAGCCAATCAGATTAAAAGCAAATCCACTGAGAGGGATGAATTGATTGAAAGGTTAAAAGTTAAGGTAAATCTAGTTTGTGAGGATGAAGAATCATTTGACTCGGTTTTGGAGAAACTGAAGGTTAACATTAAAAAATTAGAAGAAGGATTTTTAAATATTGGAAAGGAAATAGAAGCCGAGGAACAGAAGCTGCAATATGCCGTTGATGAAGTAAGAGACAAATATACTAGTTGTAAGGAAAATATTTTCTCAAAAGAAAATATTATAAAAGAAATGTCTGAATCTAAAAGAAGTTTAAGAGAAAAATTGTCTCAGCTAAGTACTTCAAATTCTCAATTAAAATTCATCGAAGATCAAGTTAGAAATGTGGAAGAGAAACTAAAGAAGAAAAAAAAAGACTTTGATGAGTATCAGCAAATTCAAGAAATAGATGAATTAAAAGAAGAAATTCAACGCAAAGAAAATGCTTTAACTCGATTGGAAAAGGAGCATAAAGTCTTGCAACAAAATTATGTTATACAGAGAACCATTGATCGACAACAAGCTGAAATAATAGACTGGAAGGGAGAGATTGAAGTTATAAATAAAAAACACGAAGACAATTTTGTAAAATTGTTCGGCAATGCAATTCCAGAGGTCAACTGTGCCATCATGCTTCAGGATATTCAAAATAGGGAGGAAACGAAACTAACCAAATTGCGCAAAACTATTTCCGAACATGAGAAGAAAATAGCATCAATTGAAGCTGCTGTAAAGCATTCAAAAGAGAATCTAAAAAATAATGAGGAAGAATTGAAAATAAACCAGAAGAAAATCCAACGTGTCTGTCAAGGAAAGGATTTTGCAGAAACGTTACAGGAATGTTACAACAGAAAGGAGAAACTTCAAAAAGACAAAGGAACATATAGATCAGCCAAAGTTATGTATGAAGCATTCATTAACGAATTTGAGAAAGAAGAACCCTGTTGCCCAATTTGTGAGACCGATTTTTCAAACAAGAAAGGATTTACTGCAAACATCATCAAAAAGCTCAGGCATAAAATTGAGGAAATACCAAGGAAATTAGCGTCGATAGAAGCTGATCTGAACAAAGAAGAAGAGCTTTATGGTCAATTACAGCAATTGAAGACCGTCCACGATAATGTTCAAATGATTCAAGGTGATAATTCTCGTTCTTAGATTAACAAGTTCAAACAACCATAATCTTTATCCTACATCTGTTTCTTTGGTTTATTATATTTTATAATAATTTTTATAATATATATATATATATATATATATATATATATATATATATATATATATATATATATATATATATATATATATATATATATATATATATATATATATATATATATATATAATATTTATAATAATAATAATAGTCATGCTTAAAGAGCGATAAAATGGTACTTAATTTAATCGTTACTACTTAGAAAACATGGAGGCTAATAAGTTAGGTGCTAAAAAAAGGAAAAGTAAAAATTCTTTTCAAAGGCAAGACAGAAGAAGGCTACCGCAAAAATTGGTTTTTAAAGATTGATTAATATTTTTATGCAAAGTTGATATATGGAGTTATTTCACTCAATGTTTTAGTTTAATTAATTTAATTTAGTTTAATTTAATTAATTGAAGCATCTTTGACCTAGTGTGGTGCTGGTTTCGCAGAGTTAATTTATTTCTTAAATAATAAAAGGGGGTAATGGAATATTTTAAATTACAATACTAAAATCAAATATGTATTCAATGTTTAGCTAGGTCACATTCTCAATTGAGAAAAATCTTAAATCACTTTTTCAAGAATATTTGCCGATTTATAACAATTAAGGTACCTTTAAATTATTTACAAAACTGATAATAACAGATTTGTTATGTAAGTTGGTTTGTTATTTTATGTTTTTATGTATTTTACTTTTAAGAAATGTTAATAGACTTTTGTGTTTTAGATGGTAAAATTCCATTATTTGAGCAAGAATTACAAGAAGCGAGAGAAAGGCTAGACGAGACCGCAATGGAATTAGCCCTATTGAAAAGTCAATTGCAGGAACCGCAGGAAATCCTTGAAATATGTAAGAAAGTAATATCCGACGTAACTCTACTAGATCGCCTAAACTTGGATCTCGCCAAAAGCGAGGAATCTGTTGAATCATTGAAATTAGAACTGCTGAAGGTGCCTTCGAATCGGTCGCTAGAAGATACCGAATCCGAAGTGGCAAGCATTAAGGCTGAACTGTCTAATCTTAGAAAAAAACATGAAAATATGAAATCTCTTTTCGATCAAACAAAGGAGAGCATTCAGAGTTTAAATGCTAATCTCCAAAATGAAATTCAAAAGAAGTTGGAAGTCCAAAAATTAATGCAGGAAAAGCCGTTGATTGAAAAGCAATTGAGTGAGACCAGTAACAAATTGACCAAAACCAAAGAGGAAATAGAGTCCTTAAAGATGGAAGTGTCGTCTTTGAAAACCGAACTTGAAACTGCTCAAAAGAATCGCGCCCACATTGTGCAGAAAAATAAAAAATTGCTCGAGCAAAAAAGGTTGGACCTCGAGTCGATTAAACGTGTGTTCGACGACGTTCAGAAATCGCACAATATCATCAAACGTTACGAAGCCAGCGGAGCCTGCGAGAGGCTGGAAACGACCAATAGCAAGATCCAAAATCAGTTGGAAAAGATTGCAAAATTAGAGGAAGCTAAGAGAGTGTTAAACGAAGTAATTTCAAACAAGAAGCAAGATATGGCAGGGGAAGAGAGTAGACTAAGAGCTTTGCAAGACAACAAGGAGTTGCGGGATTCTAGAAAAAAGAGCGCAAAGATCGAGTCGGAGATACAAGAACTTAAAAAGCAAATCGGCAATCACAACTACTCCACAGTTTTCAAAGAAAAAAAGCGGCTTGAAAGTAATATGGACGCGAAACGCAGGGAAGTCGACATAATGTTAGGGGAGCAGGGGCAAATTCAGGCAAGCATTAAAGGCTTCAACGCGGAACTGAGCAAACCCGAAAATAAACACGCCGCAGCAGAATACTTAAAGAAGTATTACGAGCTGAGGGTGGAAGAGTTGGCGATCAGCGATTTAGAAGTCTATACTATTGCTCTAGAAAAATCCATCCTCTTGTTCCACAAAGAAAGGATGATTCAAATAAATAAAACAATCAGGGAGTTGTGGAGAGCCATCTACAAGGGCAATGACATAGATTACATTGAAATTCAAAATGAAGATACTATCGGCAACACGAGAAAGAGGAGGAATTACAATTACAAAGTGGTGGAAGTTAAAAAGGGCGTTCAGTTGGAGATGCGCGGCAGATGTAGCGCTGGACAAAAAGTGTTGGCATGCCTGGTTATTCGGATGGCACTGGCGGAAACGTTTAGTGCCAATTGCGGAATTTTAGCTCTCGACGAGCCAACAACTAATCTCGACCAGGATAATATTTCTAGTTTGAGCGACGCGATATCTAAAATCGTCACTGCACGGGAGAAACAAAAGAATTTTCAGCTGCTGGTCATTACACATGACGAAGAGTTTTTGCAGACACTAACTAGGGACCAGAGCACATCCCACTACTACCGCGTATCGAGAAATCCCGACGGCTTTTCTCAAATCCGTAAAGAAATCCTGTAATACTCTTGTTCTTATTATATAAAATTTCCATATTTGATATATACCGTTTGAATGATTTTTTGGCAAGAAAAAATCAAACCCATAACATTTTCAATTATTGTTTCTGTGGTATAATATTTCAATTCGACTACGAAAATAAGCACATATAAATAATAAAATCTGTTAGATACTGTTTTTTAGTACAACTCTTTTTCATATTTTAAATGAAAGTTTCAGTTGGCACAAGGATATTAAACATGTTCAGCGCAATTTGTTTTCTAGAAAATTTCCTACCTCTTAACATCTTCATTTCGTGATTCCTGTGCATCCTCACTCAGCTTTGTTCCATTGACTAGCAAACCCAAAATGTTTTTTTTCTTAATTTTAAATTCTTTTTTCATTTTGCGATACTTTTTCCATGATATCGCACAACAACCACAAGATGCCACGATGAGTTTGTATCCAAATCATAAAACTATCATCGTTTGCAAGAAGTGGCAAATAATATATACTATTAAAATCCTCCATTTTAATTTTATACAAAGCTTTTTTGTTATCCAAAATTTGAAGTTTGGTTTTCTGAAACTTAATTATTGTCGAAAAAAAAAATAAGTACAACAAAAATTGTCGAAGAAAAAAATGCGGATTTTGAAAAAATACTTCAAGAAAAACCTCCGTTATCGCAGACATTTAATTCAACCTTTCTTGGGCTTAATTGAATAAAAGTATTAAAATAGTTAAAAATTACTTATCACTACAGAGAGGCTTCATTGCAGCATTCAGAATTTATATAAGAAACTAAGTCAGAAAAAATATTCAAAAACAGATTTTAACGCTACTCACAATAAAATGCCACCAGTTATAGGAAATGTCAAATTTGAACTGAAATATGTCTAAAAATGTTCAGAATGAACCAGTAAGTAGGGTAGGATATGTGAGGCTGATAACCAGTTAATTAGGTGCTAATGTGGATTGCCTAAAATTCACAAGTCGACATTCCTGATTTTTGGCCGGAATTTCCTCGAAATTCGCATTGGAGAAGCACAAGTCCCGAAAACAGATCTGCATACCAGACGACAAAGGTTTCACGAAGAGCATACTTTTGTAAAAGAAACCGGAAAATCACTATACGAATGCGGTTTATCCTATCGCGAATGGTCATTTGTCTGAAACTTGTTATTTTCTAAAATTGATGAAATTAAATTTTCCAAAGTATCTGCGTTCGTATAAAAATTTTATATCTCGGTAACGGTAGGTCCTACGAGATCTCCGTTGGTACAGAAATGATCACCGCCGAAAAAAAAAGTTTTTTGTCTGTCCGTTCTCCGTTCTCGTCTTTTGGTTTTTCCTGAATAACTTTCGAACCGTTGTAGCTACAAAATTGAAACTTGCCTCATTTTTAACCCTCGACGAGGCACATAGGTTTGTAAGAAATGGCCCTGATGATTTTCGACTATTTTTTCGACCTTGCTATGAAACATGGTAAGTGTCCGAAATTTGAAGCAATCGACTTCATATTTGACTTTGCCCCGTGACGGAACCTATTGAAAACGAGGTGGCTAGGGGATCGGGAAGTATTCTAAAAAAATAAAAAATCGCGCGTGTAATGGGTCTACAAAAAACATCATTTTCAAAATCTGTTTACGAGGCCAAAAAAATTCTTGAAGCAGAATCAAAAATCGTAAAAAATATGGCTAATTGGTTCAAATGGTGTCATAGGCCGCATCAAGAGCTGTCAAGACGCGATGATTACTATTTTCCAAAAATTCTTGAACCAGGAAAATCCAAGGCTAGAACCTCTACTTCGAACAATGATTGTATCATATACAGGGTGTGTCGTTTATGGGCAAAAAACCTAAAATATCTTAAACATTTCCGTTTTTGTGGGTAAATTATAAGATGGGATAATTTTATGTGAACAGTGTCGTGAACCGTGTCGTGAGAGAGTTTCAGGTTTCGTCAATTATACAGGGTGTGAGATATTTGAAAAAATATCATTGAAAATCGCTATTATTTGTGCAAACTTTCATATTTACCGATGTTTGCTGTAACTACGAGATGTGAAGGACATTTTATACAGGGTGCATGCGCAATTAAATTACATCGATTTTGAGAAAGTTCCATAGTGGTCCGCAGGAGCACGATAGAAAAACAATGCGTCAATTTACCACACGAAACCGCGAAGTTCTTTCCTTTTATAATAAAAAGCTGTGATAGTTTTTATTATGTTTTTGGGAAACTCCACCACAGTGCGTCGCTACAAAAGTTCCTCTATATTATCAGCATAAGCAGCATTGATTACTTTCTCTGGCACTATCATAACGACTTGGCATTAGTATAAATTCTATTAATAATAAGAGTAAGTGACAACTTGTACAACTATAAATATTAACATGGAGGATAACTTGAGGAAACTTGAAAATTAATTTATTATGCAGTCTATACCGACAACTAGCGAAAATAAAAATGAAGAAAAACATGTATTGCCGCTTAAAGTTGTTATTAGATTAGAATACACTTTTGGTCACCCTGTATAAAATAGGAAGCCATTTATAACTGAGATACAATAATGGTGTACTTATTTAAAAAACCTTAAGATTCAGGTGTCAAAAACCTGATTGAAACACATTTTTGTAGAATCCAAAAATAATGCTGTAATAATAAAATATAGCAGCTACGGTCCCAAAAAACGTAAACACAATAAATTATCCAACGCACTGAGTAAGGGGTACGGGAGGTGCTGGTAGACGTGTCGATTGGCGACCCCGGCTGAAACTTTTGACTGTTATACCAATATAATATAGTTGTCTATGGTCGCCATTATTTCCTATGTTTTCATTTACAGACTCCGTTTTGAGGTAACAATTTATTTCTCAAGTAATAATTACTAGTGGAGTAGTAGTTATCCATTATCTATGGTGTAAATAACGGACAATTTTAACTAGCCTTGAAAATTCGCAGCAACCACAGACGTCCGAGTAAACAGTAACAGGAATATGGGGAGGAAATACCATTTTGCTCCTTTCTTGTAATAGTATATTATGCAACAAGCGCGGTAAACGGCATTTGACTCACGAGTTTTTAATAAACGAGTGAGTTAAAAAGTTTTTCTCTTCCTGTCTGTAAAATACCTAATTACCCATCGATCTACCGTGCGGGAAGCGTCACTTTAACACGTCAGTTTCGTTTCCCATGAATCCGAACCACTTCGGACATTTCCGGCATTTTACCTCACAGATTTGGGAGCATTCGGATGTTTTCGGAGATATTTTCCACGTTTTGAATTTTGGCGTTTGTCAATTCTGACGATAATGTCAGTCAATGTATTCGTGTTGTTGCGACAATTTACCCAAAAACTAACGGTCATAGAAAAAGTATAGTATGCAACACGTTCGGTAAACTTTTTAACTCACTCGTTTATTAAAAACTCGCTCCGCTCGTGTCAAATAAACTCGTGAGTCAAATACCGTTTACCGCACTTGTGGCATAATATACTATTATATATATACTATTACTATTATATATATATATATATATATATATATATATATATATATATATATATATATATATATATATATATATATATATATATATATATATACTACTATTATATATACTACTATTATATATATATACTACTACTATTATATATATAAATATACTATTACCGAAACTGACGCGGTAAAGTGGCGCTTCCCGCACGCTAGATCGGTGGGTAGTTACGTATTTTACAGGCGGCAGTAGAAAAAATAATTATAAACCGATCTAGCATGCGGAAAGCGTCACTTGGGCTTCTTTTCCCGCGGATCCAAGCCCCTTCGGACATTTTCGGGATATTACCGTAACTGCGGGTTTGGGAACAATCGGATATTTTCGTAGATTTCACCGCACGACCTAAATTTTGAGGTTTGTCAATTTCACGGTAATGGTCAATGTATTCGCGTATTCGTGAAAAAGTATAGCATGCAACTCGTGTGGTAAACTTTTTAAGTCACCTGTTTATTAAACGCTCGCGACTAAAATGACGTTTATCGCACTTGTTGCATAATAAACTAATTACCGATTCCTCAAAGATACAAATTTGGATTCAGTGTTTGGACATTGCCATGTTAGTTCCAATCTAATATTAGAAAAAATATAAACTTTATTAAAGCAGATTTCAACAAAGACTCAAAAGGATATTTTTGCTGATAAAAGGAAAATGGTTGTTAGGAGTCCAGAGGGACATTTTCAATTCATATAGTAATTAGTAATAAGATGCTTCGCGTATATTCGTGGGTATAAAATCCGTCCTTTACCCAGCAGATCTTTTATGAGTTTGTTATTTTGTATTATTACATTCTTTTGTAAACAAAATATTTCTGTATAGGATGTGTGTTTTAATTATACAAGGTTTGTAACTACTGAAGTAACTAACGAAAGGACCTACGAGCAAAGTAAATACCACATTTAGAGTTAGGTGGTGTATTTACAACCCCGCACACCGCGAAGACGGCAACGTGGAGCTTTGTAAAATACTCTATGCTGGAGTATTCTCCACGGAGTCTCCCGCTAAACGGCAAGTTAGCTATTAACTTAGCTGTTTTCTGTCGAAAACCCGGTCCACGGACATATTAAATTCACAAAACACCAGCCTTTTGTATAATTTTATATTGTAAATATTTTATACAATAAAAAAATAACAAAGTATTTAGTCTGAAGGCAGTGCATTTAAAATAACCACTATGTGAACAAGAAAAGAACGGCGCTACACCGATTAAAAGTTGTTGATATGCGCGTTGGAAACTGGGTCACGGAGTGCGGAAAACGTAAGTAAGGTAACCTATTGTATGTACAGATCTTAATATGGTATTGCTCGAAATACAGTTTTTAGCATTACGAACAAGTAGGTCGCGTACTGGTAGTTTTGGTTAATTGTACAAATTACTATTTTGGATGTTAATATATTTAGTTGTGGTCAACTGAATGGATTGTTTTTATGAATAAATAAGACACCTTCAAAATTGTCGAAAATGGCTCAGGATCTAGTCAAGATGAAAGTAAAACACTTGTTAATAGGTAGATATCATTGTTGCCCATTAAAATGCGTGATAATCCAAATTTTGCCGTAAAGCCATGCAGTCCACTTCGTCAATTTTCAAGGAATTGGTTTTCACGTTTAAGTCTTCTTCGAGTTGAATCTGAGTTTTAAGCAAATAGCGCAATGAGGCCTGCGTCTGTTAAACATGAACGAGATTAATTAGCCATAAGTTAATGGCGTAATACCATTTTACCTCAGCCAACATATGTTGTAAAGCAGCGCAATCCCTCCGTATTTCGGCAACTTCATTTGATAGTGATATTTCAACAAAATCTTTGCACAATTCCATGCCAGGTCTTTGGACTCGGTTGCCGAGTCTTGTATGGGCCAGAGCCATATAACCTTCTTTTTCCTTTAAACTTTTCTCCAATCCAGTCAATGTTTTAGTTATTTCATTGACTTGTTTGACAATCTGCAAAAGTAGTTTTAATTTGATTCGATCTGGGCATCCCCCTCAACTTTCTGAGTGACTATATTTGTAGTTACGTATGCATTATGTATATCTAAAGCCCGATTTTGATGAGGCAATTTATCATCGCGATTCCGAAAGTTGCATGACCTTGAGCCGTTCTCATGGTCCAATTAATTGCACGCAGCCGCATTTTTATAGTGGCTTCTTTGTTGCCAACTGAAAATTTGCGTTGACGGTACTTAGACGTAACGAAATTGGGTTATAAACATTAATTTTTGAAAATTATGTAAAGGTAAGTTAATTTCCGCACATTTTGTTAGATGAGATGATTCGATCATAGGGAGGTTAAGTAATTGTTTCGTTAGTGATACTTAGTATGATCTATTCATAGACATAAGAAAGTGACCAATTGCATTTGAACGGATTATCCAAGGGTGGTCATTAACATACAATGCAACAAGTTTATTGTTATTAATTAAGAAAATTATTAATTAATTATAAATTGTTAATTATCACTTATTAATTAAAGTAATAATCTTGTTGGATTGTATGTTAATGATGACCCTTGGATAATTCGTTCAAAAGCAATTGGTCACTTTCTTATATCTATGAACAGACCATAACTTGGGAAATTATTCTTTAGCGGTTAGTCATTACAACCTTCTCTTTATTTTTGGAGAATTTCAGTCAGTAACTTCTGATGTAACAAATTGCAGCAATGGTAAACTTGTTGCAAAGTGAAAATCGGGTTTTAGAGTCCTGACATTTCTTTAATACTTCCACGCCGACATCGACATACGAATTATGTTGTCAACGCGCATTTTCCCACATAAGTAAGCCACATCTATGATGACATGGAATATGGAACAGCATAAACTAAAAGCTTTGACATTGACATTTGACATACATATTGCTATTGTAATAAGTTTAACGAAATATAAGCAAGACATTTTGTTAACCCATTCTTATGAAAACAGAAACATTATTTTGTGTGCAATGTAAAAACACTGCCGATGTCCAGCACTGGCAACATTGTCTCAGGCTGCCCAGATATTTACATAATGTTAAAACGGAACCAATGGTAACTATGAATATGGCAGATCATAAAATTTCTGGTCCGTTTCTTCTTTAGTTTGTCGGGTCATTGCTTAAATTGGTAACTTCACATATGCCTTCACACTAATCTAATTAGTTCGTGAAATGCAAAGTTCTGTGTGAAAGATTTATTTCTCAAAAAACTTCGTTATAACCACAGCCCACAGCTCGCCTTTCGACAAATGGTTTGAAATTTCTAATCTCAGCACGAGAAGGCGCTGCCTACTAAAAAAAGCAAAGCAGAAGCAGTATGCCCTGTGTTGGAATTAATAATATGCAACACGCATTACGCTTACGTTTATATTCTGTGACTCCTTATCTCTGTGCACATTAGATCACAGTTGTTAAAACCGGTGTTATAGACAGCCGGTTGTTTTATTAGGACATACTGCAACACTCAGACAATCCTCTTTTAATAACCGTAAAGTATACTTTATGTAATAATTACCTCACAATGTTGGACTTCCATTTTCCTTTTCGCGTCTTTTATTTCATCTATGCGCATCTTAAATGCTTCATTTACCGCGTGACACTGGTTCCTCAAGTCGTCAACAGCCTGCTTGATTAAAATTTCGGTATAGCTACAAAGATGTCTCGCAGAATTTATTTCTTTGGCCGCTTTTTCGATATTATTTTTGGTAAACTCTTCCCATTCTTCTAGAGTGATATTTCTGAAAACAACACTAATATACAAATGTAAATAAACATTTGGGAGCCTGAAAAAAGACAAAAAGTTCTCTAAATTGGCTGCACTGAAATCGGAGAAATACATTTTTTGTTTATTTTATTGTAAAGGCTAGATCTGTAAATACTCTTACACATTATCACATGATACTTGAGGATCCGTAATCGGTAATAATACCACTCCAAGACAAAAAGTGCTGTTGTACGGCCTCACTGTTTTTGTTGTGCACCCAGGTCGAAGTCCGGATGTAGCCGGTTGGTCAGCTGCCGGAGCGAGAGGAGCTAGTTTTTTTATCGACAAAAGTCAGAAATGGTCAAATGATCCTAACAATACTGCCCAAAAGATATTGTGAAATTGTATTATTACGACAATCAAAACCAACGCAATTTCTACTGATGGCTCCCACATAAAAGTGATATAGAACACTTCCTGTTATAGAGCTCGTGTTTTATAGGCCCATATAAGAATATATATGGGGTATAGATCTCTCCAACCTTCATATCTATAAAGGTCTTTGGTTCTTCTGATAAAATAAGACAAATATTCTATTTTTCACTTAGAAACACATAATATTGTACAAAAATGCGTTCTACACCGGGAGTTCTTCATTTTCTTATAAATTTTTCAGTTTCGGTGATATTGGACCGGGCTGTGTAAATTTTCTATAGTCAAATATAAAGCTGATCATTGTATGTAGAGTCGAATTTCCGTTTTTTTTTTTTAAACTTATTAGAGAACATTTTTGTTTACCATTTTCCCGCATTGGAAGTCATTTACTGATTTGATTTGCTGTTTCTAGATTGTTAAGTCTGCTGTCATATGCAATATTTGCATTTACATAATAATTGTTATGATTACTTGTCATTTATCCACTGTAAAAGGAGAAGAGGAAACGTTGTTGAATAGAACCTAACCTAACATGAAAGAGAGTGTTATTTAAAATCAGTGTATTCATTATTAATAAAGTTATTTTAGTTTAATACATCCGTGTGTTCGTAAATTCACAATAATAATTACTCTTATTACCTCTACAACGTCCCCCAAAATATTTTTTGGGGTATATAAAGAAAATTTTTGTTTTTAAAAGTTTTCTGTAGGTACAACAATTCAACCTATTATGGTAACCGGTAATTTAAAATGTTTATTTTAGAAAATGGCAATGCTGGAAGAGCTGTACATTAAAAGCATTCGAAGTTTTGGCGCCAACGAAGAAAAAAAGGTACAATTTTCAACACCATTGGTGTTATTTCTAGGTCAAAATGGTTCTGGGAAAACCACAATAATTGAATCCTTAAAATATGCCTTGACAGGAGATCTGCCTGAAGTTAGTGGTGGTAGTGGGTTTGTTAATGACCCTAAACTTTCAAATAAAAGTTCAACCGAAGGTTATGTGAAAGTTAGGTTCAGAGACTATAAGGGCGATTATGTTACAGTGAGTAAATTTGTGAAAGTTGAGGGAAAAGACAAATTAAATTTTAAAAGTTCAAATCCTTCAATACGCTGGGAGGATGGACAGCATATTAAAGAACCTCAAAATATAACTGGGTGACATATAAATATAAACACTTACTGTGCTCAAAAACTAAATGTTTCGAAAGCAATTATCAAGAACGTAATATTCTGCCATCAAGAAAATGCAGCATGGCCTCTTGATGAAGGACAAAAATTGAAAAAAAAATTTGATGAGATTTTTGGCTCAACGGAATATAACAGATGTGTGGATAGACTTAGACAAGAAATAAAAACACAGAAGGACAATATTAATGTTTTAAAAGAACAACTTAAAGGTAAACAACAGTTAAAACAAAATGTTGACAAGATTAAATCTTCACTAGAGGCACAGGAAGCACAAGTGGAATTAATTAAAACACACATTGATAAAAAAAATGGGTAGATTGAGTCATTGGAGCAACAAATTCAGAATATTTCAAAACTTGAACAGGCCTTGGGCACATTATAACAGGACTTATCTGCCAAGGAAAATTACTTGAAAGGTATAGTTTGTGTATTTTATAATTTTTTTGATAATCTGACAAAATATGTTAAACAAATTCAATCAATAAATGTAAAATCTAATCCTATTGGATTTGTTAATTACTGTTTACTTGGTTGTTATTGCGGGAAAATGTTTATATAAATTACAATTTTAAGTTTTAATTTTAAAACACTACAAATTGTCAAATAAAAAACAAACGTTTGGCAGAACAACACAGTTTGTGAGTAGTGCTTAGTTTAAGTAATTTTTAAGCAGGAGATTTTATAATGACTGGCCTCCTTACAAAAGAAAATATTTCTTCCCTTGCATTTGAGGAAATATGCAAGTTGTGTTTATAGGAACATGTAAATATTGAAACTCAGTTATTGCTCTTTCTAAGATAAAAAATTAAGGGTGTTGTATTTGAAAAAAAAGTTTTTCATTATTAAATTTTGGTGAAAATCCAGCTGTATGATATCCACCATATTTTATTAGGTTAATAGGCGTAAATGTAAGAAATGGTGCCTTCGAGAAAGTAGTTATAAACTTTGTTTCAACCACAGCCAGAAACCGGCTTGGAACTGTATATTCCTGTAACTCAGCTGATTTTTTGATACGATTAACGTTTTTAGCCTGACAGAAAATTTCAGTTGAATAACAGGAATTTACAGTTCTGACCACGGTTGGAACAAACCTATTAAATTTTACTTAGGCGGCGATAATGGTTTTTATTTTTTCGATTGAGATATGGCAACTCTATATTTGAGTACAATTTCCAGGACCTACGGATAGAACACTTAACGTCAATAATCTGTTTGAGCTTCATATTTGAATATCTGAAAAGGTTTTCAAAATTAGAAAAAATATAATTTGTTCCGAGGTTATCGCCAAAACAAATTAAGAAATTGTTAAATGTTTTGATATAATTAAAAGGTAATTAAAACTTTTTGACACACTTCCACAATTAGAGCGGGAATTTTTGACACGATGTTATCGATGTATAAAGAAAAACAAGAGTTTAGTTCTAGGTACTTACTAGATTAAAATTTTATTGACCAACTCCAAAGTCGGTTTTCAGTATATAGATAGAACGAATTTTTTGATGTAGCAAGCAAGTTTTTATGCAAAAATACGTTGTAAATATTATTTGGAGGGCGCACCTTGGCATTTTAGGTATTGTTCAGCATCAGCAGATGATAAGATCGCATTTGGATGCCGAATTTGTTGGAACGGTCCAGGAATTGGAGCTAGAACTCGAAAACTTTAATAAGACACGGGGCAATGTGGAAAGAAGTATAAAAGAAAAGGAGGATAAATGAACCCAGTTTGAAAGACAAATCAGTGAATTTAACAAGGAGTTGCAGGGTTTTCAATTGCATCTAGGCAAACTAAGTGAAGAGGCGAATCAGATAAAAAGTAAATGCGCCGAAAGGGATGAGTTCAGTGAAAAGATAAAGATTAAATTAAATCTGGTTTGTGACGATGAAGAATCGTTTGATTCAGTTTTGGACAAAATGAAGGACAATGTTAAAAAATTGGAAGAAGAATTTTCAAATTTTGAAAAGCAAATAGAAGCCGAAGAACACAAGCTGCAATATGCTGTTGATGAAATAAAAACCAAATATACTAGTTCCATGGAAAATGGATCATCAAAAAAGAATATTATTAAAGAAATGTTTGAATTAATAGTTAGTTTACAAGAAAAATTGTCTCAGATAAGTATTTCAAATCCTCAATTAAAAATTATTGATGATCAAGTTAGAATTTTTGAAGAGAATTTGAATGAGAAAAAAGCAGACTTAGACAAATATCTACAAATTCAAGAGATAGACAAACTAAAAAAAGAAATTCAGCACAAAGAAAATGCTTTAACTAGACTGGAAAAAGAATGTAAACTTTTATATACAAATAATTGTACACTGCAAATCATTGAATGACATAAAGCTGAAATAATAAGCTGGAAGGAAGAGATTGAGGGTATAAAAAGAAAACACAAACAGAAGTTTAAAAAAATTTTTGGACAATGCAATTCCAAAGGTCAACTGTCTCAGTGTACTCGAGCATATTCAAAACAGGGAGAAAACGAAACTAAACAAATTGTGGAGAACTATTTCCGAATATGACAAGAAAATAGCATTGTTTGAATCCGAGCTAAAGGATTCAAAAAAAAAAAACTAGAAAATTATGAAGAAGAATTAAAAATAAACCAGAACAAAATCCAACTTGTCTGTCAAGGAAAGGACTTTGCAAAAACGTTACAGGAATGTTACAACAGAAAGGGGAAACTTCAAAAAGAAAAAGGCATATGTACATCAGCCAAGGTTATGTGCGAAGCATTCATTAAGGAATTTGAGCAAGAAAAACCCTGTTGCCCAATTTGTGAGACCAATTTTTCAAACCAGAAAGAATTTACTGCAAGCATTATCAAAAAGCTCAAGCACAAAATTGAGGAAATTCCAAGGAAATTAGCTTCCATAGAAGCTGATCTGAAAAAAGAAGAAGACCTCTATGGGCAATTACAGGAAATAAAGACCGTCCATGATAATGTCCAAACGATTCAAGGTGATTATATTCCTTTTTAGGTAAAAGTTATTCTACTTCATTTAACCTTGTTACATTTTTATTCTGTAAAAATGTTATGCCATCAACAATTTTCTTATATCCAACCAAATGATGTCACTCACAAAGGCTAAGCAAATTTCAAAAATTTGCGATTGAGTTAAAATTGATATCGTTAATTTTGTAATAAAGGATAGTAATAGAATCTTTAATAGAATTGACAATTTTCTTTAGATCATTCGTAAATACTACTACGTACAAAACTTATGAATAACCCAAAAAAAAAAAACAGTGCTTACGAAGGCAAGACAAAGAAGAAAAAAAAAACATAATTAATAAATGAAATTCGACACTACTCCAATAGCAAAATATGGTTTTAAGGATTTTGCATCTTACGACTGAAAAGTTGCTATTGATAGTAGTTTAAGTCAATTTTTTAAAAAACTGTTATACTATTACTTGTGCTATTGTCGTCACTAGAATAGTTTACAATGGACTATCTATAAAGTGTTACAATCAATTTATCGAATTCTTTAATAGTTTCTTTTTAATGTTGAAACACTGTCCTTGACTTTCACACTATTTGCTAACTTGTCTAAGAATTGGATGCACATATAAACAGCAATTTCTTTGTGATTCTTAGTCAATGATACTAAGATACTAGTCCTGCTATTATTACTACTACGTACAATTGCATTTTCAAACTAATCTCGTTTTTTAAACACAAACATTAAATTTTGAACAAATAAAATTAGGGTCATATTCTTGAATCTATTGTTATTCCTGCTTATCCCATATGTAAGGATATTTTAAATAGCTTAAATAAGAATAGACATATTTATGCAAATTTTCTATTCTTTCTTGAAGAATTTTTTCTGATGTCTAAAAATTACTTATATTATTATAAAACTGATAAAAAACTAGGCTTCTGTAACTACAGTTCCACATTTCACCTAAGTTGTATGTTATCGCTATATATATTATATTATCGTTATATAATGTTATACTGAATAAGAAATTTGATAGTCTTTTGTGTTTCAGAACATAAAATTCGAGAAAATGAACAATTACAATTAATGAAGAAAAAAGTAGGCGAGTCTATGGTGGAATTAAATCTATTGAAAAATCAATCGCAGGAATCGCAAGAAATCTGTGATATTTTTACGAATGTAGTATCTGACGTAACTTTACTAGATCGCCTAAACTTGGATCTCGCCAAAAGCGAGGATTCTGTTGAATCATTGAAATTAGACCTGCTGAAGGTGCCTTCGAATCGGTCGCTAGAAGATGCCGAATCCGAAGTGGCAGACATTAAGGCTGAACTGTCTAATCTTAGAAAAAAATATGAAAATATTAAATCCATTTTGGATCAAACAAAGGAGAGCATTCAGAGTTTAAACGCTAATCTCCAAAATGAAGTTCAAAAGAAGTTGGAAGCCCAAAAATTAATGCAGGAAAAGGTGTTGATTGAAAAGCAGTTGAGTGAAACCAGTAACAAATGGACCAAAGCCAAAGAGGAAATAGAGTCCTTAAAGATGGAAGTGTCGACTTTGAAAACCGAACTTGAAACTGCTCAAAAGAATCGCGCCCATATTGTACAGCAAAATAAAAAATTGCTCGAGCAAAAAAGGTTGGACCTTGAGTCAATTAGACATGTGTTAGATGACGTTCAGAAATCGCACAATATCATCGAACGTTACGAAGCTAGCGGAGCCCCCGAAAGGCTGGAAACGACCAATAGCAAGATCCAAAATCAGTTGGAAAAGATTGCAAAATTAGAGGGAGCTAAGAGAGTGTTAAACGAAGTAATTTCAAACAATAAGCAAGATATGGCTGGGGAAGAGAGTAGACTAAGAAGTTTGAAAGACAACAAGGAGTTGCGGGATTGTAGAAAAAAGATAGCAACGATCGAGTCGGAGATACAAGAACTCAAAGAGCAAATCGACAATCTCAATAACACAACGGCCTTTAAGGAAAAAGAGCTGCTCGAGAGTAATGTTAACCTTAAAAACAAAGAAAAATACATACTGTTAGGGAACAAGGAGCAAATTCTGGCAAGTATTAGAGGTTTCAACGCGGAACTGGATAAGACCGAAAATAAACACGCCGCAGCAGAATACTTAAAACAGTATTACGAACTGAGGGTGGAAGAGTCGGCGATCAGCGATTTAGAAGTGTATACCATTGCTCTCGAAAATTCCATCCTGTTGTTCCACGAAGAAAATATGGTTCAAATACATAAAACAATCCGAGAATTGTGGAGAACCATTTACAGAGGTAACGACATCGATTATATTGAAATCGAAATTGATTCTCTCGGCAGCACGGACAACAGGAGGTCTTACACTTACAAAGTGGTGGAAGTTAAAAATGGTGTGCGGTTGGACATGCGAGGCAGATGTAGCACGGGGCAAAAAGTGTTGGCATGCCTGGTTATTCGGATGGCACTGGCAGAGACGTTTTGCGCCAACTGCGGAATTTTGGCTCTCGACGAGCCGACAACTAATCTTGACCAAGATAGTATTTATAGTTTGAGCGATGCGATATCTAAAATCGTCAAGTCAAGAGAGAAACAGAAAAATTTCCAGCTGCTGGTCATAACGCATAATGAAGAGTTCCTGCAGACGCTGATGAGGGACCAGAGTGTATCCCACTACTATCGCGTGTCGAGAAATCCTGACGGCTTTTCACAAATTCGTAAAGAAATTATGTAATAGCACTCTTATTTTTGTTACATATTATGTTTATATTCTATGAATGATTTATTCGGAAAGAAAAATATGTATTACCGATTTACGGAGGATTTATTTACACATAGCGAGTCAGTACAGTCATATTCAATTATAAAAAAAGTTTTCTCGGGAGTTGTAAAAATTGGTGATTTATAACTTGAACTTGAGCGAGTCTATAACACTTGATAGTCAGTGCTTATAATAGATTGATAATTTGACTGAATATTATTGACTATTTTCATAAAAAGCCCCTGCGGTTCATATTTCCAAGTTAGCTGTTCGCTCTAGAATGAATGTCTAAAGTGTGTCTAATGTCTAATGACGTCATTTTTGTTTATCTTTGGTCCGTATATTACAAACAGGCGCTGACAACAAGATTTTTCAAAAGTGAAATATGCGTAACTGTTAGTCAAAAAATATTGGTTTGTCAACTTGGATGTTAGTTCGAATAATTCCAAAAAAAAGATAACAATAGGTTTAATGAACAATTGGAAATGATAATTTTAAATATATTCCACCCTTTCAAAATAAAATTGAAGCTCTATGCACGGAACCCTGCCTCAATATTCTCAAGATCAGGTGATATTTTTGTTCAACGCCGTATAGTGAAAATACTTTTGGCAACCAGCATAACGTCATTACAAGCGGGTATAATTCCGACGATACAATGCATTTTTCTTATCCCACCTAAACTATGTGATTTCTGTATGGCTGTATGTAAATATTTATAGAAAGTTAAAAAAAACACACAAAAATCTTGTCTTTTAGGGGCACATTCACGCTTACAAAGCGCCAATGCTTTGTAATGCAATTTTCTAGGAAATATAAAAAAATGTATATTTGTATAATAGATTTGTTTAAAATTTAAAAAAATGTATTAATTGTGAGCTAAGGATAATTTTAAAGATTCTGGTTACCATGTGATTAATAGCAATATTATGTTATGTTAGTATTATTTACCAGCGGTAGATTAGAAATGTCCTGGATACCAGTACCACCTGTAATTAGTTAAAATAGATATATTAACAACCACAAGCAAAAAAAAAAAGCGGAAAAACGGTATGTGATTTCGAAAGAAATATATATGTTTTTACTTTTAGTTAATTTTACGAACTTTATAGCTTTTGGCCTTTAATTTTATTTTAACTGTCCATATTACAATTTACATTATACGATAAAGTGAATTTTATTGTAAAATATTATTCTTGCCTTGATAGTCACTCATGGAGATACAATGAGCCGTTCAAATGCCATGTTTGTTTAGTGTCAGAAGCGCCACCATCAGAGAATAAATTTGCGTATAAAAAGAAAAGGCATTCTTTCGAGTGAAGTGGATAATATATTTACGGTGGGTAGTATCACTTCGAGGGGCACCACCTGAGAAATTGAGAGTTTTCGCGTGAAACTTTGCGTAATTTAAAAATTATCAGTGATAATACAGTAACAAAGTAACAAACTGTCTACGTCAAAAATAATTTCATAATTTTCAGTGACTTTACTTTTTTTGACCGCCATGTCTATTCTAAATCAACATAAATGTATTACTTTAAAATTTTAATTCTGCCAAAATTTCTAACAAAAATTATCAATATTGTTCTAACCGTATTAAATGAAATCGCTATTTTTTTAAGTTTGTTTCGTTTATTCTTTAATGGGACGTTGCTAAAAATCTAACATCATATCATATATAAACTGGAAGCTCACATCAGTTCGCGGCTGCAGATGTAACAATACCTAAATTCTTAAGGACTCTTTCGAGTTGTTTTTCCGCAATGTAAATTTTATAATAATAATAATAAAACCGATTGTGCTAGCTTATTACTTACCCCCTGTTTAAAGGAGACAGTCCGTGATAAATGCTAAGGTTTAGACTTGTCTCTCGTAAGGTGCTATTGTGGCAATCGATTTTAAAGACTCTTTCTTTGTCTTCTAAATCTCTGTCCATAAAATATTTGGTGGATTTAAGTCTTCTCACTTGTTCATTCGCTTGTTCTAATGCTCTTTGCAGCATTTTTTGCGTTCCTTCGATTACTTCCAGTTCCCTTTTGAGCTCTCGCTCCACATCGTCGTAACACTTGTAAAAACAGTAAAAATGCGGTTACGTACTTTTTAGTTTCCATACCACGTCAATTTATACGCAGATTAGAAAATTAGGCATCAACACTACATAGTATGCCGCTTCTTGCATACAATACATGTCGGAGATCCTAAGAAAAATAATAAATAATACAATAAAATAGAAATCAGGTGGGACGAATTGTGATGGCGAGAGAGGCGACGCGGGGTTAGACTTCTCGGACATTTTAAAAGAATGCACAACACAGTGCTAAAAAGAATGAATCATCCAATCACTTAATGGATTATTCAAGGAAATCCAGCGATCCGCGAGCCGTTAGATCAACTACAAACTAGCCTATCAAAAATAAAGTATCGGAGCTACTTAAAATCCGACTTAACCAGTGCTTTTATAGAGCCACACTATACTCGTCTGTTCCCGATCGGAAAAACACCAAAGTCCACAATATTACGAATAACAGAATTTGAACAGTTTAGGTTAGACCCATAAATAATGCGAGTCAAAAATAAACATTCCAAAGACCCAAAACGAAATATGGGAACATATCAACCACTTAATGTTACGGGCGCCGACACGGCCATAGTGCACGTCCTCGGGCACCTGGTGGTCATCTACAGCTCGAAAGCTTCAGTCGTCCATCCTGACTAACCAAGAAAAATAAAAAACGCGATGCAATTATCAGTTATTGTTTTAATTAACAATAAAAAAAACTAACCAATATACAAAAACTTTTAGGAAACCAAAATCAGCTTACTTGCAACTTGCAATGTAATATCATTTGGCAAATCTATGAAAGCATCAGCTATCAAGAGCATTGCAATTGCAGCATTGCAGTTCCACCACCATCATCCAGTAAAACACTGTTTACTGTAATATTTAACCATCTTTGGCGACACACGCCCCTTCAATAACGCAATGCTTGTCGGGATAATCACCTTCGGCGACACACGCCTCTCTAACCAAGCAATGCTTATCGAAACAATCACCTTGGCCAACACATGCCCCTCCACTAACGCAATGATTAGCAGGATAAACACTTTCGGCGAAACACAACTCTCCAATAAAGCAATTCACTCCAGCGACACACGCCACTTCTGGTCTCACCGTTTACCTTCATGTAAACCAACCAGGCAACTAAAGTAACTTATTGGATAAACAAAACTAGGCAAAATACATGCCTCCGCCACATAGACCCTTTAAGTAAAATAACAGAAATATATGAAACCAATCCTTGCTGGGCCTCGAAAATGCTGCAATGCTCCAGATAACTACTTTCAGAGAGTAAAGGAGATTTCAACACAGTATTATTGGTGTAACAAGAATCATATGTTTTTGCTACATTGGGATCGAGTTCTTTAACATTTATGGTGGCAATATCTTTTAAAAGGGCTTTCTCGGGTCATCGAGATACATACTACCCCTGCCACTCTATCTGTAATTCGATATTTTGAATAACGCTAAGTGATTTAGAGTTTATGCGGTGCCATAGTTTTGCCTTAATAGAATCGTTGGAATAAAAAAGAACAACTAATTATTATTATAATAGGTTTAAGTTAATCATCAAATGCGAAAATACTAAATTTTCACTGCCGCCATCAATCGGTGCAGCTGTCTCTTTTAAGCAAATTTCCAAGCTACCCGTGTTTACACTAATAAGTAGAACTCCTGATACGAAAATTGTTTATCCATGTTAGAAAAATTAACATTTTTTTTCAAACTAGGACATTTAATTCTTGATTAAAGCATTGATCATTTAAACCAAAAACCAATAGCGATACCCAATTTGATTAAATCTTTGTTCTAAGATAATACCGGTCGTCATAATGTCTATAATCCAAAAAAAATAAAATTTGCTGAATTCCAACAAAACGCAACATTTGCTAATTGCATCTTCAAGTAGTGCTGCTGTCTACTTTTGCTGTTGACATTTGCCTTCATATTCACATGCAATAGCTTTTTTCACTAAATTGAAACATGGCATAAGTTACCACATTTTAAACTATTTAAATATCAAACTGCCTTATGTCCACCACTATGCGTGCATAAAATTTCCAAGGCCGTTTATAGGAAATTTCAGTACTATAGTGCAACGACAAAGATTAGCGCGCTTCAATCCAGTATGACGACCGGAGGGAACACAGCATAGCAACAAAACAGCAAAAATTTTAAGGGACAAAATATTCCTCATGACTGCCACAAATCTACTGTTTTTCCAACGACTGCCAAGAACTGCATCCCATTTTTTCTCTTCTTCTTTCTAGAGCCCGTGAATCCACAATTGCCGTTCATCCATAGTACAGTAGCGCATTTATTTTGCACTGCACTAATCGTGGTGAATAAAGTCACTTTCACTCTCCGAATATTATATCATATAATAAAATTGAAATAGAAACCCGATGGGGCGGGTTCTGATGGCGAGCGAGGCGACGCGGGGTTTGACTTCTTCGGACATATTAAAAGAATGCACAACACGGTGCTTAAAACATGATCCAATCAATTAATTGAATATTCAAGGGACTATCTTCGCCGGTTCACGTTCGGAAAAATACCAAAATGGGTTCCCATGGGTCCACAATATTACGAATGACAGAATTATAACTGTTTAGAATAGACCGATAAATAATGGGAGTCAAAAATAAACATTCGAAACACCCAAAACGAAATATGGGAAAATATCGACTACTTAAATCAAACTTTTGTTAAGATTTCAAGAAATGACCGCGCATGCCCATATTAAATGGCCCATCTCAATATCTTTGCTTCAAATTGAGCAAGACTAGCCAACCGACGCCGTTTAAACAACAGTTCGTCAATTTGACAATTTTCAGTATCTATTTTCTTAAAATATGTTTATATTCCGTTAAACGTTCATCGAAAAACGAAAATCGACTGTCTTTACGACCACTATAAAGGATCATTTATAAGGAATGGAAATGCACAACTGGACATAACCAAAATATATGATTAAGCTTCGGAGATACAGAACGTTTAAAGTTTAAATTGTAGTCTGAAATATTTTAGTCATGACTAATTTGAAACTTTTTGTTTAGGCTGTCTAACTTTTTCTGAATTTCTGTATTTTTTAATTCTATTTATAAAAATATATACATAAAAGATCAAACAACCAAGATGCAATAAAAAACTAATATTTAACAGTAATAATAAAAGCAACATTGCTACAAATAAATTTTATTTTCTCCAAACAATTACTGCAACGATATTACTTTTGTTGCAACAAATATATATATGGGGCCCTCTAACACGCTAGTTAAAACAGCATGTTGATATGTCTTTTCTAACCTATAATATCAGCAAACGATGTGGATGGATGGGCATTAAATATTATTAATATTATATTTGTACTTTAAAAGTGAATTATTATATATATAAATTTATGTTTGCGACAGTTTCTGATTTTATTGATGACTTCGATCAACACCTCCCATATTACAAGACCGTGAAACGTTGATCAAATATAGGTGAAAGAAAGGTAAAATATTAAATTAATTAAATTGATTACATTTTAAGAAGCACTTGAAGAAGCTTTTCCAACCTTTTCAAAAACTTAATTAAATAATAGCCTGTCCGTGTCGTGGACAGTGAATAAAAACTGCTTTTGATAAAACGAGGTATTTTTAACTCGGTTGGGTAGTTGCACTCTTTCAATTTCATAGGATTGAAAATTCATTTCCCGTAAAGGGAATAAAGCTTGAAAAATTTTAACATGATAGTCCAACTTGTAGTATTTAGATTCTAAACACTTTTTGAAAATTATTTCAGGAAGACTCACCTTGGTGTTTTTTTGTTGGAAAAACGAAGAATGAGAGAATTAACACATGAAACAAGGTTTCCTAATTATTAAATACACAGTCTGCAGCTTACATAATTAGCTATTATCTCGCACACATAAACGATATATGTAAATATCACCCTATAAAAAATATTCCGAAAAATAACACAAATATTTTCATCTTACACACTAATTTTGAGACTGGTAACGACGGCTTAACGGCTGTTTAGTATCAAATACCTCAATCAAAACGTAAAAATGAACCTATGACAAACATATAGCCACCGGCATTTGTTCTCCTTTTCGTGATGACTCACTGGGGTAAAAATTCGTCTTTTATATAAACATTCCGCATAGGAAATATGTACAGATTTTGTTCGATCTTCAAACATTATTTTCGAAATAGAGTGTTAAATATATCAGACCGATGAAATTTAAAAATTATACATGAAGTATGTCTTGAATTTTCCGATGAATTCAAAAAATTAATAATATATGGAATGTTTCATTCAAAATAAGAAAGTTGTTACCCACTTCCAGGAATATTTAGATATGTACCGACATCTTAAAAATATTTTAGCCGGTTTTCCCTCACTGACATTGGTTTAATTCAAAAATTTTTGCTACTTGTTTTCTCATAACAAATCGACGAAGTTCCCGGTGGGATACCCTGAATAGCCAAAATTTTAAAGATATTTACCATATCGATGCCAATTCTACCTTCCCTAAGTATAATGCATTTGCGACAAATTTCGAGAGCGTTTCTTCCAATTGCATTTTGGCAATCTTGAATTCTTTGCATGTGCGTCTTCAAACTCTCGATTTCGATGCACACATCTTTTCTCTGCCTTTTAATTTCATCCGTATTGAACTCTATTTCACGCTTTCGTTCTTCGATTTTCTGATCAGATTCTTTTTTGTTGAGGTCCGTTTTTTCCCGAAGTTCATCTTTTAACTAAAACCAATTTGTTTTTATTTTAATTTTTTTGGTCTAAATAGTTGACTGTTCTGAACTGAAAGTGTTCATGTTGTTTCCAAAACCGGTATTTATTACTATATTTTTTGAGAAATCCTGTATGTATATAGTATATGTGCCGTATTAACACTTCCAATCTGGTATGCTTAAGTTCGATAAACGCCGGTTTATTCATGACTGAGGTCTATCAAAGTGTTGCATGTTGAATGACGTGTGACGTGACCCTCAAAACTTACAAATGTAAAAATAGCATCAGTGCATAACTACCGGAAACATCCGATCGTTCCTAAACCCGTAACTCATGTACCGAAAACAACCGACGTGGCTCGCGACGGTGAATAAACGAAACTTTAAAGTGAAACTTTTCGGCCGCTTGATTAGTGATGGTCGAGTCAAACGTCACTGAATAATTTTATTAGAGCTGTTTTGGTAAAATGTACCCAAAAACTATAATGAAAATAAGGAGTTATTAAATACTTGATCCGCTCCTGCCGAATCAAACTCGCGACTAAAGTGGCTTTTAGCAAACTTGGATATACACTGTTATATTGCAAAAATATTCTACAATAAACTAATATTTACAAATTGTTTGCTATAATATTCGTCTTCTACAATTGAAACGCTATGGGCATTATCGTTATTTTTAGCGTCTCAAATTTTTCTAATGAAAACATTATTAGAGCTCAGAAATACAAACTCGCCATCTTTGTTCACAAATTACTTATTACTAAAAACTTAAGAGCATAAAATGCAATTGTAACTAAACTACCAACTTAAGATTAATTTTTTTGTTTCGTTTGGTTTTTTAAATAAACAATAACATGTTACCAAAAGTTATTCACAATTTTATGTATGATCCAAAATATGTAACAAAATAAAGAGTAACATTTGAAATTCCATTATTTGTTTATCTCTCTAAATTAGATTTTAGTTAATTTTGTTTGATATTTCTGGTTGAAATGTTAAGAAGGTTAACAATACATATATGGCAATAATGTATGGGTTGAATTTATATAGGAGAATAAAATAGTTTAGTTTTGTGATAGTTTTTTGGCTTTTAATGCTATAAAATTGGCGTGAAAGGTAAATTTCTATTGAAGAACAATACCAAATATTTTATGGATGCCTTTTTGCGGTCAGCCGGATCTGGCGAACGTAGCACTTATGGAAACTAACCAAAACTATCCTATTTTCTTTACCCTAGTTGGGTTAAATCAAGAAGTAAAAAACATTAAGTGCTTTGCAGAGTAATGTGGGCATGGAGAAGGCTTTTATATTACTAACGAGAAGGGATATATCAATTATGGTTCTGAATGTTTTATTATCTTTTGTGACTTAAAATTTCTTCTAAAAATAGATACTGAACATTTATTGAAGGTTTGCCAAAACAGAGGCCTGTTATATATTAAGCACTTAAAGCACTTAGTCGTGAAAAAAGCACTTATGAATTTTACCCTATCTGCCTCGGCAATTATGGAATTCGCCAATTTTTGTTGATCTAGGCAACATCTCTCCCGATACCTGTTCTTTAAATGCCACTCAGTGAGGGAGTACCTGAAAACATGATAGTTACTAACACACTGGGAGTTCTTAATAGGACTTAAACCTTGCCGGAGGAGGAGGATATATCACCAAAGAATGCTTTTTTAATTCAGATTGCAACGATTCCATTTTAAAATCGACTAAATGCAACTGGATTCAAGTGGGTTTGATCAATAATCAAAATTGTACTAAGTTGTTATTTATTATGGCTACGAGTTTTCTTGTAGCTAGGGAAATTTGGTAATAAAAACAAAAATCAAATGTCAATTTGGAAAATTTTGATTAGTCGTTACGAGACGAATGCGAGAGTGAAGTTTTTTTTAGGAAAAGCTAGAGGTAGATTATTATAACGAATTATTAATATGACATATGTAAACTTTGTTATTTTTGTGCAATTTATACTTCTGTCTGCAAGGCCGAGGTATGTCCAATCTGGTAAAACCTCAAAAAGATTCCATACAGCTATTGATAATGTAGTTGCCTTAGTACGATAAAAATTGATGCGCCTCGGCTACATTTTCGTAGAGATGGGAATAATCTTCCGCGCATGCCTTTAAATTTCACCCACTCGCCTTTTACTTTCTAAACAGTGATCTCCAACTCGTTTTCTCATAACATATTTAACGAAATCTGAACATATTTTAAGAAAATACGGCCCTAAAAATGCTACGTCTAAACTGGAACCAGTCCAATTGAGGAACAATCAACGGCCACGTTGGTTGTTTAATGCCGCTGGTTGAAAACGACTTGACCGCGCATGTTAAATGGCCCATCTAAAAATGTTTTTAGTCGTTCCAAAAATTCCTGGATTATCAGCATAGGCTCTATAAATGTAGTAAATATGTGGAATATTCTAAAACCAAATAGAAAGTATTTTTTAATTTAATTTTTAGATTGTCTACGGACCTTTTTCAAATTTGTCAATGTTGGTGCAGCATGTACTCATATATTTTGAATTTTGAAAGATTAATGAGAAATTCGATTGTGATACGGAAATTCTGTTCTACTCCACTGCAACTTTTATAGAGGGAAAGTATAGTGTTGTATTCTGTGTCAAAGTTATGAAAGGTTTGAAGAACCTAACCAACAAACTAAGATTTATAAAAAAATGAGTTTTGTGCATCGCCGAGACGTTTTAAAATTATATAAAGAGATATTAAGGTACAGCGACAAATTAAAATATACTAATAGAGAATATTTCTCAAATCGGATTAAAGCAGAATTTAAAAAAAATAAGAACCTCTCCGACCAGTCAGAAATAGAATTCCAGTTCCAGGTAAATATAAAGAAAATTTGTTTCGTAATTAAATTTTAGTATGTTGAGATAACTTGCCGTAATTGAAAGATTTGGGGGGAGTAATTTTAGTTAAAATTTTCAAAATATTGATATCTGACATATAGAGTACAGAACAAGAGCTTATTTTTGACTTTCCTGAATTACAAAAAAAAAAAATGCCAGTCAATGTATGAATCTGTAGAATTCAAAAAGGTCATCAAACATTTGAATAGCAAACAACAAATTTGCTGCATAGATTTTGAAAATCTAAGCATTTTTGAAAGCATGCTTTGGCTCACAGAATTTTTCTGGGGTATAAATTCTTAAATTACATTTTCAACTGTTACTTTTTATAAAAATTTTCGCTATCTTACCAACCCTGTGTATGTAATGGGGGTGTATTTACAAGAGATCCAACTAAATGTATACTTGATAAAATAGTTTAAAAACAACTATAAATTAATACATTTGTTTTGAATTCTAAAGTTTAAAATGCATTTATTGGTTATTTTGGATTTTTTCAAAAATACCAACAAGTATAACCTCTGCGCAGTGCTTATTAGAACGCCCTGTACACTTTTTGTTGTAGAAAAGATATGTGAAATTGTTAAATTATTTGTAGAAAGGCGCAATACTGTTAATGAGAAAAAGTGTTTTGTGATGGCAGTTACTCGAGTAATATTATACCTTGCAAAGAAACATTTTTCGTCATTTAAAAAAATGATTGATTACTCCAGAGTTCCTACAGTTAAGGCGGATGATTTAAAAGAACAATTTGTAAGGGGCTCAGGACCGGGTGGCCAAAAAATCAACAAAACTGCAAGTTGTGTGGTGTTAAAACATATTCCAACAGGTAATAAAAGTGCAGGGGTTGTGTTATTAATTTGTATTTTCCTTTGGTTAGTTAGCCCTGCATAATTTAATAACATAAACAAAAATGATTTGTTTAATTGAAATAGCAAGTTTTCCAAGTTCAAACAGGATGTTAACTTATCCCTCCATAGAGTAACAGGTGATATTATAAATAAGATTAATTTAATTTATTTAATTAAATTTTAAGTCATTTGCCACCACATTTACTAAACAAATCTTATTTTGATATATAGTGTCATCCGTAGGTGGATAAGTTTTGGTTAGTTATATCTGTGAATATATATCACTGCTTGCAGCTTATATGCAGTATGGTAAAACTATTTTTGCCTTCTGTGTCTATTTAATAATAGGAAATTAAGTCATTTCCCAAATTAAAAAATGCAATGCAATTAACATGGTCATTCTAATTTTTCTTTGAAATGTCTAAAATTTCACAGAGCATTAGTGATAAGTGGGCTACGCAACATTTGAATTACTTATTAACCTTTTCTTTAGATTCATATGAAAATATTATACACGTATATAGTAAGTGTGATTGTTTTAAATAATTTAATAAATAAAAATTAAAAATGTGCCTTGTCTATTTCTGGTTGTTAGTTTTGACCGCATTTTTTACCAAAAACACAACGTTATTATTTTTGATAATTGATAATGAATTATCTTTAAAAATCATTTAAGTTTTCTTTTATTCTTGCATTTTTAGGAATAGAAAACACTCCAATGATTTTAAGAAATACAATACAAAATACAAATAACAAAAGCTTTAAATTTGACAGAAAATATTATTCAATAAAACACATGATTGATTATTCTAAAGTACCTAAATTAGAACAGAAAGATCTAGAAGAACAACACATTAAAGGATCTGGACCAGGAGGCTCAAAAATTGCATCCACTTATAATTGTGTCTTATTAAAGCATATTCCAACAGGTACTTAAAATACAATATCAGAATATGAGATTATTCATTATTAATTGTCATTACTTTCAGTTGTAGTAATAAAATTTGAATTGACCTTTGACCTTTTAGGAATTGTCGTAAAATGCCAAGAAACAAGATATTTGGAGCAAAATAGAAAAAAAGCCTTGGAGTTACTAACTACAAAACTGGATAATTTACTAAATGGGCCAGATAGTATCGAATCCCAAACCAAAAGTCTTCTTCAAAAGAAAAAGAACTCAAACGATCAAAAGAAGGAAAAATTAAGGAAACTAAAAGAAGAGTGGAAAGACAGGGAAAATATAACTTGATGTGATTGTGATTGTTTTTTTTTAATTTGTTTGAGTAAAGTTCGTTATATCATAGTTGTAATTTGGCATTTGCGGATCTGTTTTACAACATAGATGTCTATTTCGCACGATACAAGTGAATATACAAAAAATAAACAATAATTTACCAAAGCGGTAAATCACATAGAAAAGACACATTAATATTACACTATGAGAGTGACACTAAGGTATAAATAATTTGGAAACCAACTTACATACCAATCTCCCCAGAATATACCTTGTTTTATTTGATTCCACTTTTACACTACCTAAGTATGAATTAAATTAACAAACCATGTCTAATTTAACAGTACAGTTTTATTTGACATCTTATTTTATTCAAGCACTTCTAGACACATATAATTCATGTAACTAAGTTTGTGTTTGAGCTATTTCTTAAACGTCTTTTTTTTTCATGGTACATGAAACTGTTGGATTTACTAAAAAAATAAATAAATAAAAGTGACAAATTGCGACTTATAGGAAAGGAAGGATTGATACTAATCTCGAGTCTTAAATAATTGTAATAAATATTAGTATTTATCAAGCTGCTTGATCAACTGACAGTAAACAAATAAATATTATATTATGAGTTACATATAAGCGGTACTCGTCCGAAATGTGTGTACAACCTAACTTTGAATACATTTTTTCATTAATTACTAGTTTTAATTTTAAGAGGTAAGTAAATAATCTGCCAATCCAGTAATTTTCCCTATTACAATTTAAGTAAATATCAGGCCTATGGTTTCTGATGACATTTAATAAAACTAGGGAAACGGGAAACAAAAATATGATTAAGTCAATACATGTAAAAAGTCAAAAAATGTTCGCTTAAAAGAACTACTTATATATTGTTTAAGAACCTGAAGAGTTTTAATTTTATGACTAATTTCTGCAGCAAAATATTGATAAGTATTAATTTGATGATTGTTTTGGTTTCAGTTTCCCTAGCTCTACTAACCACAAATTTGAAAGGGAAAAATGATTATTTCATAGAACAAAAAAATGTAATTGATATTTCCCAATTTGAGCAACCAAATTTTGTTTAAATAAAAATATAACGGAAAATACTACAATTGTTACACAGATATTGATATTTTTTTTCACGTGGATATATACTTACGTCAACTACATTTGGCTTTTTTAATAAATGCAAGAATCAAAAATAGACTGACTCAAAGGTATGAGCTAGCCGTATCGAAAATATAAAACCGGCGGTTCGTTTAACAGCAGTTTTTAGAGCTAGGATAATTATTAAATTTGTCAAAAAAATATAGGTAAGTATCAAGCCTCGTGAACCCAACTGAACCTACCCAGTTTTCAGCCTTATATTTCTAATTTTTCCAACAAATAAGAGTTGTGTGATTTCAGAATATGTCTTGCATATATCTTTTTCACCCTCATCAAATATGTATTTTGTGTGATAACTGTAGTATATAATAGGTTAACCGCAACATATATAATTTATAATTTGTGGTCCATTTGTTTATACTAAGGTTCTTAAGTAACATAATGTTTTATTTTCATTTACATGCACTTCTTAATATAACGTGTTTTTCACGAGCACTAAGTTACAGTTTTTTAAACAACTTTTCACATTACCAAAATCTTCACAGGACTTCATGTCAACAGAAAATTCAACTTTAGTTTTACTCTAATCAATAAAAATTACACAAACAAGTGCTACAAAGAACGCAAATTTAAATTACAATTTAATATATATAAAATAAATTTTCTAAAGTCCCATTAGTTGATGGTAGTGCCATGTAAATAGATAAACTCTAATTTTCACTTCTTTGGGTGGTTTTCAAACATAAAATAGAATCACAATATTAAGAAATTTAGAGTTTTACACCAAGCTGTACTTTTAGTTACAGTTATTATCTGTAAAATTATGATTAGGTATCCGGTAAAGGCAAAGTTTTGCATTTCAACTTAATAACTACTCTATAACTTTAATAAAGTGTTAGTACGTATTAAAATGTTGAGCCTAGGGTAAAAATGGACGTAAGAACTGAGCTATTGAATTATCGAATGTCTTAGTATATTTAACTAAAAATGATACCGAAAATTAAAAAAAATGGCAGTACAAAATATATTGATATAATATGAAGACGGATAACATGGAATGCTTAGTAATTCTTGATAAACACTATTAACTTGGGCAAAATATTCGCTTAAGCCAAGTTATCTTTGGTATTTGTTCACATTCACGGATAATAGGAGACAAAGCAGAGATATGATCTATCACAAAAAAGCTCATCAAATCTAACGTTTGTGCAGAGTGCAGGTCTTGCTTGTATTGTCTTCAGTCTGATGAATTGAATTTATCTAATGATATAAATTTACGGCAGAAAAAAATTGTCAGTAGCGCTTTATACAGGACGTCTAGCAAGAAAGTGTGAAGAATCTCTCAATTAGATTAGATAACAAAATAAGTTTTTTTCCTATAGGGCCTTCCGATGTTTCTTGAATTTAAATTGTAAAACAAAGTATGCATTCATATTTATTGTCAATAAAATTCGGTTTAATGGAAAAACTTTAATAAATGTTTTAATTTAACTGCTTTTATTCCAAACAAAAACATCTGGTCTCTTCTTTTTCTTGTGGCCTTACCCAAATATCGGGGCCTTGGTAACCACTCGCATCGGTCTGTGTTGTGCGTGTTTCAAGTGGATACACAGGTAGAACGGACCTACAGTTTAACGCCGGTTCCGAACAGCAAACATGAGGTGATGCCTTAACTTTTTGGGTTGGATATGCCGGTCGGACTTAAACCGTCGACTCCTCGCATAGTAACCCAACGCACTAGTTACTATGGTATGGCAACCACACACGGGAAAATCAATATCGCTAAAATTAATACTCTATAGGCATATAGTATCCCCAAAATGCTGGCAAATTGCAGTTACAACTTTGTAAATATTCAATTGAAATTGGGGTATGAGCAATTATTTTCTAACCTACAGCTCTGCATTTTACTAGTGAACAAGGTAATACCTACAGTGAGAATCTGGATCTTGCAATCAAAATAGTTATAAAAAATTAGGGTTTCCATAAAAAAAGACATCGCTGTCTTTTAATACGTCCAAGCAATAAAATGGCCTTTCAGAAACATAAAATATATCAAATTTCTCAATATTTTCATAATACACCCACCAGAAATTAATCGATCAATCTACGTGACCCATAAATATTTTCGTCATATTTTAAATCGAATTTCAGTGGTTTTTCCATTTTAATTTTTGATTAATTTTACAAATTGCAAAACTGTTCAAGAATACTGCATTTTAACATTTTAGGGAAGCACGCCCTTTTAGCTATTTCGCGCACAACATTTCTATTCCCTAAAATTCAAGAATATTAACCCAGAAACGGATCCGTTCGAATAACTAGCTCAATTCCCTGCAGAGCTTTAAAATCGTCATTGATAGTTGGTTAAAGTCCTCCATTATTGCCATTTTTGGGCAGATATTAATTCAGTAATATAAATATCATGAATAAACACAAAAGACAAAAAAAAGCCGCCTTGTATTTTAGAATTTTGCGTAACTTACTGACAGGGATGCAAACCATTGCACATGGGGGACGTTGAATCCTATGTGGGTCAAAGAAAGTTAAAAATCGGTTAAAAATTATGTCGAAATGTCAGAATTAAAATTTTGATTAGCATAGTTAATTGAATCGTTAAAAACGTAGGACTTATTTACGCTGGTACCCAGGTCAGATGGGATGGGATATCTCATGTGGGATAACTGTTTGTAACCGCTTGGTGAATCCACCGTAATTTTATGGTTAATTATTTAGAACTTCATTCTATTGAGCATGTTAACACACTTGGATAATGATGGATCATTCCAGCCCCTTTTTTTATGAAGGCATCCTATAGGCATTTTGGATTGTGTTCAATATGTGCAAGCTGGCCAAACTGCTTGAAATTGCAGGCCCGTATAAACCAGCAGAATACAACAAAAACTTACTGACAATTTCGTTTCCGCAGAGCTGCGACAACCAAAACGGGCAAAAAAAAAATTGTACAGGATCGCATCTAAACCGCAATCAGATTCCAACCGATTCCAAGGGGGAACCCGCTAGGTCTTCGCAATTATCATCTACGATTAGGCACTTTCAAACCTTCGGTCGGTGTGAATTAAATGTAAACCGGACTCTCCTGGCCGGTCAACAGGCGAAACATCGAGGTCGGCATCGTTTTCATCAAGATCTCGCCGACGGAGGTGGCGAGCAAGTTTACGATTTTTTCGTGTGGGACGGCGACCACGCTCTGATTGTTGATTTCGATGATGCGGTGACCGACGCGAACGCCGCCCCTTTCAGCTATACCGCCCCGAAGCAGGCTGCATATGACTCCGTTCTGAACGCTGAAACCTAACTGATATTTCGTATCTGGCCGCTTGATTTTCACTTCAACCACAGGAGCGCATGGAACGACCGTCAGTTTGACAACTGTCTGGTTTTTCGAGTTTTTGATATAATTTTGACACGTAGACAGCGGCAGCCCCACCAGACTCACGCCGTTGATCGCGATGATCTGATCGCCGATGTTGAGTTGACCGCAACGGGCCGCAGCCCCGGCCGGGGCTAGATTGGCGATGACCACCGTAGGTAACATCGATCCCCAACCAGATTCGACGATGACCACGCCCAAAATCTCGCCCTTCGCTTTCGGCACCACCACCTCCTTTTGCATGCCCTTTTTCGCGAACATCTGCAGCTCGTCGCCGAAGATCTCTTGCGAGTTGAGGACCTCCTGGTAGTCAAGCTCCTTGACGAAGCTGTGGTCCTCGATCCCGTTCGCTTTGAGGAACTCCATGTAGGCGACTTGGAACGCTTGACCAATGGATTGAGCTATGAATTGAGCCTCCTCGCTTTCGAAAACATAGCAAATCATCTTCGGGGTTCTGTTAATTTTCGGCGCGTCCTCCATTTCGTGCGGTACGAACCTTATGGACAAAAAAAATACAAAAACTATCCATCTAGTCCGAAGAAACGAACGGAAACTTTAGAAACAAGAACAAAACAGTGTGGAATATACAGGTGGACAATTAATTCATTTTAAACTACGCTAACCTACACTTTTTAAGGAGTAATGATACCACTGCCTGAAACGTTGTGATTTAAAAGGAAATAAAGGCAATGGAAGTTCGGCAATCACTTGGTATATCTTTCTAGTGTAGAATATATTGAGAAATGAAACAAATAAAGACAGGACAACAAGATGTATCGTTTTGAAGCAGGCCAATATTAAAATTACAGATCCAATAAAAATAGCAGATTTTTTATAGTAATAATATAAATAATAATAATAGTAAAATTCTATATTGCCGACAAAATTAAAATAAGACAAACCAGCCTATCACAAAAAGCTACTCTCAAAAATATAATATAATTAAAATGCATTAAATGAATAATGCTTACAAAAGATACACCACACATTTATAATAGAATTGATAATAGCCTTCAGAATCAAACTTTAAATTATAAAACATTGACTATGCAACCATTAATAAACGTCTTCTTTATAAGTGTGCCCATTTTCAGTGCAGTAATGAGCCACATTCTAAACGATTTAATTGCCATAAAGTATATTTCTTGTACCAAGAAAGTGCCTGAAAATGCTCAATTCACCTCTATGTCTTGTCACAATTTCAATGTCGCCAGCACATAAATTTTTGTTCTCAGAAAATAAATGCATATTTTGTAGTGTAGATACGGAACTTTTAAAACTTTAAATAGTCGACAGGAAGCTTCCTGACGAAATCCCAAGACATATCTCAACATTCGTTTTTGTCTGATTGGACTCAAACATGGTAAAAAAGTTTAATTGTCCCGAGTGAGACCATAACACAACATATAGTAGGGTCTATATGAAATCGAAGTCGAACCAGAAAGGACTCTATGCTGTTTCGATCCTTAGAAAAGACCATGAATCAATCATCACCATCATCAGTTCAACTTACCTAATATCAAAAAAATATATATCGTATATTACCATTTTTACTTTTTCATCCATCTACTGGCAATGAAATTTGATTAGCTTTCTCTGGCTGTTTTGGAAAAAAATGTCATTCGGAATTACGTGGTAGGTATTCTGTCTTACATTACAAAGTGCAGCCTGTATATAAACCAGGTAGAAACTCTATATCTTCCGCTGCTTTTGCTACCTTCGGTCTTCGACCGGGATCTGTACAAGTATGTCCATCTTTTTCGATGGTTTGAACTGTTTTGTTATGAAATGAAAGGTGTCCCAAACCGAAATGTCATAGATATCTTGAATTTTAAGACACAGGGTGATTTTGGAAATTTGATATTTTTAGATAAGGGAAAATCGGTCTAGATAGTTTTTTGTTGCCACTATTCTACATAAAGTGTGAAGTGCAGCTTGAGAAAGTTCAGAAAAAAAAGAGTAACTTTTCGAGTTATAACTCTAATAGAGCTCGCCACAACCGGGCTTACAAGGCCAATTTGCAGTTTTATAATTTGCAGCTATTATCAGACAGACGTGTATATTTTGATATTTGTTTTGGGTTTAAATAGTTAAACAATCAAGTAGACTGTAATGAGTTTGTACAGATTTTCTCCCTGTGCAGACTTGCCATGCTTCGTAGTAGAGACCTTTTTATTGCGGATATATGAAGATCAAATGTTAAATTCGCTAATATTTCATTGCTGTAATAGTATAGTCAGTGAGCACGCAAATTTTAATATTTTTCATTAAAGTTTTGGACATTTTAAACGACAGTTAAGTTCAGTTTAGTCTTATTTCTTTAGATTTTCCTGTCTTATAAATAAATAAATAAACACGTTTGATAAAAATACAGCATGGTCCATTAAAAAAACACAAGTTTAGTTTGTATAACAAAATTTGTGAGTTTCAGAAAAAAAACGACCATGCCACTGGATGCTACGCAGAAAGTCCTATCCAGACCAGTTTTTACCTTTTTTGGTTAGTTAGAGAGAGAGAGAGAGAGAGAGAGAGAGAGAGAGAGAGAGAGAGAGGGGGGGGAGAGAGAGAGAGGGAGAGAGAGAGGGAGAGAGAGAGGGAGAGAGAGAGGGAGTGAGAGAGGGGGGAGAGAGAGGGGGAGAGAGGGGGGGAGAGAGGGAGAGGGAGGGAGAGAGAGGGAGGGAGAGAGAGAGAGGGAGAGAGAGAGAGAGAGAGTGATGAACGAGTATTAACAAGAATAACTTTTTTCCATATCTTTCACTTTTTAGTCTCTTTGTTCTCTTGTCTATTCCACCCTTGGACATACTGTATGTTATAAAAGTATAGCATTTGCACAGGGCGTCTTTATGTGACGTTGCAGAGACTTGTTTCTCTGTAAAGCTTGTAAAGTACTTACTATCTTACTTACCTTCTTCTGGCCATGAGCACTACCAAGTCGCCGATATCCGCGATATATGAGATTGTCCTCAGGGCGTGATCCATCATGATCTCTTTCAGATCCGTGTTTAGGACCATAATTTTCTCGGTGGAAATGAAAAGATCGACTTCGGTGCTTGGCTGGCTTTCCCCTTCGGGGGCTTTAATACGCGAAACCGCCTCCTCCGCTTGCATCATTCGTGTGGTTTTAGTCGGCTGGCCTTCACATACGAGCTGCGTGGAACCCAAATACCTAGCCCGAAACAACACGCCTTCGATTAATACCGATCGCTGTATCACGTCTTCCTTGTTTCGTCCCTTTTTCTTGTTCTCTTTCTCTTTGTCATCGAAGAAACCTTGATCGTCTGTCCTCTTTTGACCCAAAAGCCTATCAGTTTCCAAGTCCGTATCATTTTCTTCTTCCTCGCCGCCACTGTTACCCTTCCGATCCGAATCACCGCTGGCAGTGGATAAACCGCGCTGCCTCGGTACCCAAACGGGGCTTCCGCCACTTTCCTCGCAATAATTGCCATCGGAATGCCTTTGCAAAGGAGTCCTCTGAAGAGTTAGGCGGATATCTTTAATCGCGGCTTCGACGTCGGTTGTTTTTTCATTCCCAATTATTCGATGAGGCGCAGGAGCGGGCGGCGGCGGAGTTTTATCAATGGACTCCGTTTGAGACAAATTGAGTGGTTCCTCAAAACTACCAATGCAACTATTTATATCGGCCGTCGAGGTATTGATACCCTCGTTTACTGAGGAAAGACCATTTTCATTGAGTTTGTTTGCAGATTTCGAGCTAGATATGCCCTGGTTTATTTCCTTTTCTATCTCAGTTATTTGTTTCTTCATAAGGATAACCGTTGGGTTGTTGTTATCTGTATCGCTAGCGTGACCAGACGACAAGCCGTCTTCGAGTACTGGCATGCTGGAATACAATCTTAAGGCATCATTGGGAGTTACTACATCTGTGTTAGATCCGATTATCCCTCCAGTCGGTCCCAGATCATTCTCCATCAACATTAAAGAGACTTCGCTATCTAAATCTCCGCAGTTTGAATCACAATCCGTAGTTTCTGGAGATAAAGTAAAATTCCTACTGTGCCCCACTTGAAGACCTACTTCGGTTTCCCCCAGATCTCCACTTGAGCCTGTTCCAATTGAAAGGTCCAAAAAATTATTTTCATGTTCCATAATATCGTGACCATGCAGACTTGGCAAATCCACATTGGTAACACATTTTTTTGGTGATTCAACACTGATGGAGTACTCAGGTTCAACACACCGACCTTTAGCCAACCTTTTTCCAACATATGAGCTGCCCGACTCATTTGCCTGTCGCCTTAATTCATACTCTAAATCCTGAAATTCAGTTTCTAACCGTGTTTCTTCCTCAGGTGGAGGGCATTTAAAAAACTCCTCAAGGACTTTTCGGGTCTCTGAGAACTCATATAAATAATCAAATGTTGATGTGTTGGTGGTGGGTGATGATGAATTATTCTTATTATGGCAAATACTTTCTGCATCAGGGCTTTCTTTTTCACTTGGACTAGGAGTGGTTACGACTCTCTGAGGAAACCCTGGTCTGGGCGAGTAGACGCTTGGGGAAGCCAGGAGACTCTGAGCACTAGGAAGTTGCATGTGAGAACCGCCTGTATCGAGCAACCGAGGGCCGTATCTTCTTGGAGAACCTTCATAAACAGCAATAGGCAAACTGCCGATAACTTTGGTCACTTTATCACTGTCAGTATCACTCAGATTAAATCCTATACTTGAAGAAGTGTAATTAATTTGTTCAGCATCATGGTGTTTTTCATCAATATGAATGTTTTCTCCAATGTCATCAAAGACAACAACTTCACTTGGAAAAGCCATGTTAACAGGATTGGTTTGATTATTGGATTGATCTTCAGCGTCCTTTTCATGAGTTACTGACCATACCTCTGAAGCAAACACCGTTTCCGTGTATTCACGGGAATTTTTACATTTTTTGGCTTCATTGCTTCGCCCTCGCAATTCCCACACTCCTTGTTTCATAGGCGATTTATTTTGAAGTTTTTTTTCAGCATCCTCCACTAAATGTACATTATTTTTAGGTTTTCTAGCTGCTTTGATGCGACTCTGTGAATATATTTCCCTACCTCCAGCAATTTCAATTATTCTATCGTTTTCGCCGTTAAAACTCATGATATCGTTTTTTCTTGTTGCATTATCCACAGAAACATTTTCTTTTCCCGAGGCGATAATAGAATTTAGATTTATATCGCTTCTTGGTCTGCACTTGGGAAACAGTTTGCTTATTTGTTCTACATTATTTTCACTCCCTTCAATTTTGCCAAAAGCTGCAGTCAAACTAGTCATTTCTGCTTTAATATCACAAATGTAATTTCCATTACACTTCGGGAAAAAACATCAGCTATTTTTCACAAAACAGTTTCACTTGAGTTTAATTAAAAACACGCATATTTTTTATAAATATCGTTCATAACTTGTCACTTATTTGTTTATTGCAAATATTTAAAAGGAATAGTGGAGGTAGACACTATAAAGCACGATTCACACTAAGTCGATCAGTTGTTGCTCGACGCATCGACTTTTCCGTAAATGCATGAATACACTGAAAAAGTGCAGTTTTTACGTAATTATTGATTTTGTTGTATTTATTTTGAATATACGTGAGAATTTTTTTAGAAGTCGGCTCAAAATCTTAAAAACTTGGTCAGCATTCTCCGTTCTAAACACGGCTTAAGTGATTAATTTTGTTTGGATCAATACCCCTACGTTAGAAAGAATTATAATTTAAAGTCCTAATTTAAAATGAATCTGTTTTTTTGTTATTTTTAAACATTGAGATATTAACTTTTAAAATGATCTGGTAAAAAGAAAAATATTTACAACCTCTTCAGAAAATTAAATTATTGATTAAATCAATATATTACAAGTCACAGACCACTTGCATCATGCTTCCAAAATCTGTAGCGCTTAGTCCTTCTTGAAATAGATTGCCATTAACAAACATTTTCGATACATTTCGATGACGTCACAAAAAGATGCTGTATTTTAGAACACGGCACATTTTTATATGTTGTTCTGTGGTTTTAAGATGCGGATTTTATCGTGGCAAATACTTTTTAAAGGGTTTTTCGAGATTGAGAAGAAATGTAAATATCTGTTTGCAGCTACTTTTTACAAGGTAAAAATCGGGTAATTTCCTGATTGAAATGCCGGGAAAGTTTTTATTATTCAACTTTGCCATAAAATTAAAACTTTTGAATAATTTGGATGTTCCACTACAATAACGGTTTTTTGGAAGAGGGATCGTATTAGTTCATGTAAAAATAGAAAAAGAAAATTAAAGATGTGTTAACATATTTTTTATCCAAAGTTTCTCTCAATGTGCGATAAATAAAGTTTTTATAAATACATAAAATATATATCAAGGATCTATCGTGATTATAAGTTCAGAAAAATATACAAATATGTAAACTAAACTTTTACAAAAATATTCGCATACATTTCATGTCATCAACTTGAGTTGGTAACATAATGACTATACTATACATAAATGTAATATACGCAACATAAAATACATTTCTATACATTGTCGCTTTACCTGAAACTACGCCTATATTAACTATATATTCAAGAATAATTTGAATAATACATTATTTTACACTGATGATCGTTTGTGATCTTGATAATCAATGAATTAATCAGGATAAGTTTACTTCAATTATAAGTCACTGTGACTAATGGATTTTGTCCAATATATCATAATGCAGACCATTCAATAGAAGGGTTATTGTAAAATTGAAATTTAAAATTCCTCTATATTATTTTGTCAAATGAAAAGCTTATTAATGTATTTAACTTTTACTAAAATTGTATAATTAATGCAAATTAGAGTAAATTCTAATTGTCACTAGCTGCTGCCAACTTTTATAAGTTACAAAAGCAAACTTTATGCAGACTGGGCGCATTCACGCATTCAAGGGACAGCAATAGTTAATTGATAACTGTTACATCTACTAAATGCAACCACTGTTTTCAAATTAAATATTATGAACAACTTACATACTGTCAGTATTTTAGCATCTCTGGTTCATTGTAAAACAATGTTCAGTAAGTGTAAGTAAGTAATCTTAAAGGTTAAACAAAACTGTAGTATGGAAACATACAGGGCCCATCAATTTTTTATGGCAGGAGTTGGAGAGCTGAAACTATTAGAATCAATAAAATAAGTTAGAATGAAATATTCAAGAAGATCATCATTTGCTTGTTTTTGGAAAGTCTAATGGCTCGATATCCAAGTTATGGTTGTAGATAGACAGGACATATCAATAAAAAATTGTTTGTTTTTAGTCATAATATATTTAAAAGCCTATACATAATAAATTAAATTTATATTCCTAAGCCACTTTGAAAAAGAAGTCCACTTTTTTTTTCTTAAATAATTAAGGTGGTTGTCTATACTTGGGATAAATTTTAATTTGAATATTATTATGAAGTACTGTTTATTTATTTTATTTATACTTATATATTATTAGTATTAATAATTTGAAGTATATCAGCCTGTATGTCAAAGACTAAGGACTTGTGAACCCACGTTTACACTAACTTTTATTGACTTTGAGAGTATTATTCACGTAAGTGTTGCTATAATAAATTGATACACCCTGTATATCACAAGTACCAATTATCAGATTTTCCAAAATTAATTGCAGCACTGACATTACCAAAATAGTTTGTAGCACAATAGTTAAATTGCAAGCCCCCCACCCATTGCATTGCATTGTATTGCAAAAGTTTTCTTGAAACTTCCATTCACAAGATGTGAATTACCGAAAAAAATTATGTTTACAGATCTAAGCGCATTTCTGTTCATACCTACTAAGTAAAAAAACATTGTCTAATCATGCGTGGAACATAGTTTAGTAATGAAAGACAAATAAGTCAGAGTTGCTAATCCTTATGCTTCAGACTCCCCCGGAGTATTTTCATCTTCTAATATTGGTACAATTAAGTTGTCTTTCGACATTAAATTATACTTCATCACAAACTGAGTAAATCTCTTACACAAACACGTGTCATTTTCAAATTCATCAAAGATGGAACGATGATGGAAGTATGCGTGAGAGAATATGCGATATACCCTCCGACATACCGATCCCAACTTTGCAACGGATGACTCTTTTATACTAACCCTAAAAAATAAAAACAAAATCATTGCCTTTTAAAATTACATATCAGTAGTGTCAAATATAGAAAATTTGCAATAACATTTTAGGGGACTCAATAACTTAATAATATAATAAATGCAAAAGCAGGTAATATATGAAACACACAAAATCAAATGTGCGGGTTACTCTTTTTTTAATTTCATTGCTTCATGGCTTTTGACTACTTCTGTTAATAGTCAGAATACATGTCTCATGGGTGCAAAGGGCATTTGGAAATTAGTAGGTTTAAAATAATAGCAGGGTTACAGATTTGGATTAAGTGACTTACTTAATATAATATATACTTTTTATATATTTATTTATTTTTATATATTAATTTATAGATTGCTTTAATTATATCTACTTACAAGCACTAAATTATAAATAGGTGACTATAATTAAACACCTCGAAATGTCAAACCAGAAACACACCTGCTAGGAAAGTATTTGTTACTATTTAGAAGGCAGGCAGCTCCATCCAAAGTGTGCCTAGTGTAATCTATTGCTGGACATTCCTTTGGGGTTTTGTGGGCAGCACACAAAAATATCCATTGTTCTGTAGCAGTCATTTGTGTACATGTCTCAGGATGACATTCACCCTGCAGTTGAACGGCTAGCCCGTTTAGTTCCATACAGAATTGCCTGTAATATTTGTGTGATGAAACCTATTTATAAAAGTTAAGCTATTTTCCATTTATAACAAATACATACCTCAAATGTTCATATTTCCAAACACCTTCATCCTGTGAGTCTGGCATTTTCAAAATTAAATCAATATTTGATGGATCTCTACGAATTAACTGTTGAATATATTGTTGGACAGCCAAAGTGCTGTCCATTTCTTCAAAGGGCTCATCAGGCCATCGGCAAAAATCCTAAAATAATTACTAAGGCTAAAAGTGCTTCTTTCTAATACACACAAGCAGGGGACAATTAACAAAAAAGTACAGAAAAAAATAATTAAAAATGCGAGTGCCTTAGTGTAAAAGCTGGGAAGGAGGTATTATTTTCTGATGTTTCTGGTTCCTTTGGGTATTGCAACTGTTAACTTAACGTATTCATGTATTATTGTTCTCAATATCTTCTAAATAAGTTTATCTTTACCTTTGCTTTAGTTCCGGGTCTATTTCTTCGCAAAATCGTTGATCCATCAGCCATCTTCATTTTTAACCGCAGAACTGAAAAGGCACAGATCAGTTAAGTTGGATGAAATAAATGACAGAATCAAGATGATAGATGTGACTCCTAGAGAAATCAATTAATTTCTCTATGGTTAGATTTTTATTTGATTACCGCATCTTTTACAACAATTGCATACGACTTTTCTCCTGTAGTTAAGATCATTTATGGTTGAAGTATTGAAACCTTTATTTATTTTCACAGTTTTAGACATACGAACCATATACCTACTAGAGGTAGAGAGACTCTGCAGACGCCGATAATATAGAGACAAATGCAGCAACTATGAAAAATTATTGAAAAGGTCCATTCAACAAGCGCATGCGCGAGATTTAAAATGTGCCTAGATATTATTAAATATTCTGGGAAAACCAGTGAAATGTGTGGTAATCTCTATTTAGTGCAGGTTAGTTAGTAAAATGTAGAGGCATGCGAAGAAAATAATTACCGTTTGATATGAAAATATCAGTGCCGCCCGCGGCGCATCAATTTTTACCGTATAGTGACTAATAGAGCTACTATATTATCTAGTAGCTATATGATACAAACCCATACGAACATTTTGGAATGAATAAATTATTGTGAGTTTTGGTTAGTTTAGAACACTAACACCAAACTATCCAAAACTATATTCATTTAAATTTCGAAAATTTGGGTTTATGCTATAGTCGATGTGGTCAATCTTTTCTCTTAATAACATTATTAGAAAGTTTGAGAAATTTCGTAAAGTCTTCTCTGAAGCTCATTGGCGTACCGACCTTAATAAGACTGGGGGAAGCTAAAAATTTTCTAATTATTTTAATCACTGTAGAAGAAATGAAGGGTTTGAAACCACCTATTTTCTCTTTTCCATTTTTTTTGTATCTTGGCACATTTAAATAATGAGGAAAAAGTGCCTAGCAATGATATCGGTAATAGGCCTTAGAAGAGCGTAAGGAATATCTTTCTTCCAGTCATAGGTTCTCAAAACATATTGAAGGGGTTTGGAGCACTAATAGATCAGTGTTTGCAAAACATGATCTGGATTCAGAAGCTACTGTTTTTAATGTATGTATAGTATAACCCATTTTAAATTTTTAACCTAGTTTATGGCAACACCACACGACTCTGAGTAATTGACACTTTTAAAAATTGGAAGTGAGTATCGGCGTAGTCCCCTCTTCGCCCCGTATGCCGGCTGCTTGATGGTGGATGTTTAACATAGGATGTTACCCTGTTTTAAACAATTTGGCCTTTACAAGACAGCAATTAAAATAATAATTATGAAATATCATAACGGTATGAAAACTGACGTATATTAAGAATACGGACACCTTGTCCTATATCTCGTATATGTCACATATTTTGGAAAACCTCATAACAAGCCTAGTATAGTATATTATGCAACAAGTGCGGTAAACGGCATTTGAATCACGTTTTTATTTGACACCAGCGGAGCGAGTGTTTAATAAACGAGAGACTTAAGTTTACTGAACGTGTTGCATACTATACTTTGTCTACGACCGTTAGTTTTTGGGTACATTTTCGCAACACAACGCGAATATATTCACTGAGATGACCGTCAGAATTGACAAACTTTAATATTCAGGGCGTAGGAAATATCTCCGAAAACATCCGAGTGCTCCCAAACCCGTGCGGAAAAATTCCGGAAATCTCCGAAGCGGCTCGGATCCGTGGGAAACGAAACTGACGTGGAAAAGTGACGCTTCCCGCACGCTAGATTGTGTGTAATCAGACATTTTACAGACGGGAGTAGAAAAAAATTATTAAAAGACAAACATAAAAAAAAGTTTAGTTAATGTTTCAAAATTTGTGAGTTCCAGAAGAAAACTGACAACCAGACTAGATCTAGGGTTGTGGAATTGTTTTGTGTCAATTGGTATCTAAGAATCCAAGATAGCTATGACTTTTCTATTTGTGCCATCTTTTATTTCATGAAAAAGTAGCCTTGGGTCACCAAAGCTCCAACACTCTGACTTTATTAGCCATAAAACCATACAATATTGGACACACTGTGACTTAAGGATTTTCGGATTCGAATTCAACTGAGTATTTTGTTGATTTTTCACAGGCTAGTGTAATGCTAGTGTAATACTTTTTATAAAACTCTTGCGACGATTTTTGCTGAGTGGAACAAGCTCTGAAGAAGCCAACAGGATGGTTGGTGAAATGTTAACTAGGTCGACTCAGTAAAAACCGACTCAGGAGGTATCCAGAAGTTTTATAAAGAGTATTTTGTTTTTTATTAGTATTTTAAAATTTATTGGCCATTTGTAAAAGCCAGTTATAAAGGGTGCTCTGAAATTAATGTTTTTATACTTTATGGTTTAGTAGTTTTCTATATAATCATAATGATAAAATATGTTCGGAAACGCTTCCTATTCAAGATACAGGGTGATGAAATTCTAAGAGAAAAACAATTTTTTAATTTTGCTTTTTGTTAATCAAAATTTCACAAAAATAATATGAATTTTTAGCTTTTTAATGTCTAACATGTCTAACAAATGGTTTGTAATCTTTTTACTTGAAAACGGTACATCGATCTGAAAAAGTAGAGAGATCAAATTTGTTCCAAATTGAGTGAGGATTTTAGAAATAATCTTTCTTTTGGGAAAATGCAGTGGCGCACTATTTTTTCGTAAAATATATTACAGACAAATCTGTTACTGATACTGGTAATTTTTTAAAATAAAATTTCGCATAAAAAAATGTATTTTGCTTCATGAAAGCGGTGTGAAAAGTGTCAATGAAATATTTACAATGGTTCGAAAATTATGATACAATTTTTTTTTCTTATAAATTCATCCCTGTATCTTATACAGAGAACTAGGGCTTTTTTGGACATGTGCCTATGATATAAACATTTCAAATTTCTAATAATAAGTTTTCTGATTCCAGATGGGCAAAGTTTGCAATTTTATGGCGCACTATGCTTTAAATATTTTTCTGGATCTATAATAGGTGGATGTAATATTATGCAAAAACGGCCTTAGGCCCATGGTGCAATTCTAGGCCGCCCTTTTGAACCACACTCGTTATTGGCTGTTTTATGTCAAATAATCCATTCCGTCATGGTCCGATGAAACCAAAGCGAACCTTCATCTGGGTGCACCCAATAACGTGCCTATAAATTGCAAATGGTTTCATCTTAAATATGCACATTTTCATTATTTGCATTGTAAATATACGCTAAATTATAAGCATGGATCAGTGATTTGCGCGGATATTACATTAACTTAGCCACGTCTGGGCACCGTAGCCCGATTTAACGAGTAGCCATGGGCGTATTGGTATAATGTATTGAAGCACTCTTTCCTTTTTTTATCGCGTCGTTGAAAGCTGTGTGCCGATTTTTTTATTTAATGTTTGATTCGCGACAGATTCACGCCCATCATTATAAAATATCGAACGGTAACGACGTTAGAATAGAATAGCGGGAAGTAGACAGTCGAAGAAAATTAGAAACTTTTATGTAGTTGATAATGGTGTCGCAGGTGGTGACACCATAAGCCAAGTGGTTTTTCTCGTATTTGTGTTCCAAATAGACATAATAGACTGTTTCTAAAAGTGTCCCGGGTTCAGGATTCCGCGCATTACGACCAAGTAGTTCGTAGGCGTCGGTAAAATATTAATTAACAAATAATTTGGGGCTGAAAGAAAGATACAAAGTTGTTGTTCGATGAAGCCTTTGGAAGTCGCCACAAAGAAATAACAAAAAGCGGTCCATCTTGTTATCAAACAGGAAGAAAACCATCTTTATCTTAGCATCCTCATAACGCGGGTGATCGAACAATTTTAACAATATTATCAAGGGAACAGTTCCCTGAATGAAGAAAAATATTACTGTTATGTTATTTTATTTATTTAATTGAATGATCCTCGCGGTTTGGAATAAACCTTATAGCTTTTGTATGTATCATTTCTCGATATAATCCATAATAAAACCTGTAGGTATGTGTAATTTATATTTTACACAAATATTAAATTTGTTGCTAAAACAAAATTTCTTTTCATTTTTTTTTTATATACGCATATCTTTCTTGTCTTTGTGGCCATTATTTTTGAAGGGTAACAATGGACAAACTACCTAAATTTCCTTAAAACCGTTGTCGTATTTGTTATTATTTAGCATGACTACTAAATTTAGTTTTGATCCACAATCGAAAAGTGCACAGAAATGTAAAATTATTAATTATGAAACCGAATATATTTTATTTAATTTAGTGAAAAATAAATTCATCAAAACATTATTTAAGTAGTTATTCCTTTCACCCAATCTGAAACTGGCTTTTATTTTGAAATATATGTTTAGATATAGGAAATTATATATCATTTAAAGGGGGTTCCAGAAATTGAGAGAATTTAATTTTAATTATTTTTGTTTTCACGAATATAATCACATATGAACATAATAATAATACATAAAGCTATTATGTCAGACCTTCGTTAAGTACAGCCGAAATGTCAGCTCTCTACTAATTCAAATATATCCGTAATAAACATTTTTTTAGCTGTTTTGAACAAAAATGGCAGAAGAGAAAAAATTAATGGTCTAACAGAAAAATTCAACAAAATACAGAGTGTCTTATTTAATGTCAAATAGATTGTTCTCTCGTTCTCACTTGTTTATCATAAAAGTCTAACCTGCCATCTACCGTGAATCACTCTGTATATAAACAAAACTAAAGACTTCTTGCGTTTGTTCACGAATAAAGCGAAAATGTACTGTAATGTATGGATCAGTTCTTAATATGTTCAATAAATTGGAATCTGCTGTATTCTATTCCGAAATTTTAATGATAAACTAATATTTTTCTATTGAATTAGACCAACTCTTGCAATTTTCACGGTTATCTGTTTGGTTTAAGTCCTAATTATCATCAATGTCTCATGATATTTATACAGCATTAACAAAATTTTCACAGAGGTAAAAGTTATAGACCACCTTCTAAAAGGCAAAATTACTACTTATTTCTGTTACTATTTGCAACAAGTAAGTAGTCAGATGAAATTTTCATATTTCAACTTGTTTCGTAAATCAAGCACAAGACATATTTACTGGTTTCAAAATACCAAAAATGTTCAAAAAATATCGATTTGCCATATCGTTATATGAAGTCACCACCAAAAAATCTCGAAAAGAGACATTCAAAATGGCATTTTGTAACCCGTACTTTCTAAAAATATGGTCAAATACTATCAAATTTTCAGAAAAAAAAGGTTAAGTGTGTGGGGTTCTGTGTATAAGCAAAGCGATGCCTCTTTGTA